TCCACAGCCTTGAGGCCTCCGCGCGGAAACAAGTCCAACATGCTCGAAAAACTCAATATTTAATCAGACGACTACATACTTAATATGTAGGTTTCTTAGCCTTGATTCGGCGACAGTCCAATTCGTTTCTTATTATGAAAGACAATGATCTTCTGTGGTCATGGCATGCCCATGACGGCCACTGCACTTCTTAAATGACTATAATATCAACAAACAAAAGAGAGTTTGTTAATACTTCGTGCCATTATAAATTTTATACTGTGTAATCGAACGTCGCAACTATGGAAGTTTTCCAATTACAGAGCATAATGCGACTCAGTGACGCACAATGCCGAATTATGCTGAAGCTTAATTGGAACGTGAATTAGTTTTCAAATGCATCAGCAGAGTGCGCTAAGTTAGCACAGTTTTAATTAACATTGATTATTTCGAAGAAACTACGACGAAACGAAAGCCTTACAATTTTTTTCAACATTAAATAATATTACTAACGATAATATAAACAAAATTTCGATCAATGCCAACTTAAAGAAAAAAAAAATCTTGTCAATTTTCTGTCACGGAGTCGGTATCGATTGCGAGTATCACGCGAGAGCAGTACTTTTGAGAGTGCTCGATTGTGCGAAGCGTTGCTGTAGTTGGAACATTTAATGTTGAGCATTATGCCGCATAATGCGCTCTTGTGCTGTAATTGGAAAACTACCTATTTATATTTGATAAACGTTAATGAGACAAATACACGATGGGCAGATGACATCATAAAAGTAGCAGGTGAACAATGGCCGCGAGCGGCAGAGAATAGAGAGTACTGGTCATCTCTGGAGGAGGCCTTCACCTTTCATTGAGAGGGTTCTTGCTAACATAAATAAACCCTGACTAATTTAACCAATTAAATCAATATTTAGTACTTTTCAATGTAAAAATTATTCCAAATGTTATGTATATTATTTCTTAAAATAAGAACACAATTCAATNTCTTGCTAACATAAATAAACCCTGACTAATTTAACCAATTAAATCAATATTTAGTACTTTTCAATGTAAAAATTATTCCAAATGTTATGTATATTATTTCTTAAAATAAGAACACAATTCAATACTTCTTATCACTCATAACATGTACATAATCAAAAAATCATAATCAAGATTCAATTAAAAATTATTTCGTTAATTATTTTGAATATGGGATAATAAATTTAAAAATGTGAATGATTTTGCATGCATATTAATAGTGTAAATTTTTTTTTTGGGTATGAAAAGCAAGAAATAAAAGGCTTTTTTATTTTTATTTTTTTATTTATTTTATTTAATGAGACAAAATCCGAAACTAGACGACACGTTAACATACCTGTTCGGTTATCAAAAAAAGAATATAATATTTATTTATAGAATGATATTTATGTTGAATAAATTATATTTGTTTTACGTAGATAGAACACAATTCGTTACAATACGTTTTCCGCAGACAACAGAAGAATATGAATATTTAATTTGGAACGAAATTGAAACATATAAATGTATTTTTTTTTTCCTCTACATATTTATGTATATACGTACATACGTATATACGCTGCTTATATACCTATACGTTGTCTAGAATGAACTCAATTCCACGATGTTTCCCAAGCATTGACATATCCTACTTTAAACTTTGGTTTTAAAGGAACCTTCTCCGTAAACAGCGTTATGACTCTGTCCTAGCATAACTAATGCTCATTTGCAACAATGACTTCTTACCAGCTAGGTCGTAGGTAGGACGACATTGATATTATTAAAGTTCTTATCAGTGTGCTTAATACGAGTTTTTTAACGTCCTCGATAGTGTAAAAGTTAACTTCTTTTTTTTTTATTGCCCTTGTAGGCAGACGAGCATACGGCCCACCTGATGGTGAGTGGTTACCGTCACCCAAGGACTTCAGCAATGCCAGGGGCAGAGTCAAGCCGCTGCCTACCGATGCGACCTACTCATATTTGTATCGAGTTGTAACGTTCGCCTACGTTTGCCGCTAGGAGCGTTAATATTATTAATGTTCTTATCGCATTTCAGTGTGCTTAATGCGAGTTTTTTAATGTTCTCGATAGTGTAAAAGTTAACTCATATTTGTATGGAGTTGGAACTATTGCCTACGTTTGCCGCTAGAGGCGCTGTTCCAACTCTATACAATTTTGAGTTAACTTTTACGCTATCGAGAACGTTAGAAAACTCGCACTAAGCACACAGATAACTAGTAGCCATAAACAACAAAAAGACTAGTATAGCACTGAGTAGAACTAAAAGTAGTCCAGATTTTAAAACAAATGACATCAGCATTCGAATACCAAGGACGGCTGTATTAAAATCATAAAACAAAACAGATTCATAATGAATTGGTTATTCACCTAAATACGGACAATCACAATATTGAAGTGAATTACATTAATACACACCTGTACAAATATTATGTTTACAACTCAAATACCGGTTTACTGAAGTTATCATCGGTTTTGTTGTTTTTGATTTTCTTTAAGAAATTTTACACGGAATAATTTTGGTGGAAATGATAATAAATCTGGATCTACTATTAGGCAATTTAAATTGTTGCATAAGGTCATAATGATCATAAATATATTCAACTGTTGTTTCATATTCATACGCTTGTTCGAGTATATTAAACAGAAGAAACACACGTCATTACGGATCCTCCCGATCCACTAACGGTGCTTCTAGGTACCTCAAGCACCGGTCATCGTTCTCGTCGAATCCGTCGCTTGCGATGAAGGGCTCAGCAAGTAAATTAACCCACAGAAACCGCCCACTGAGTTTCTCGCCGAATCTTCTCAGTGGATCGCGTTTCCGATCCGGTGGTAGATTCTGCAAAGCACGGCTCTTGCTAGGGTTCGTGTTAGCAATAACGTCAACTTTGAGTCCCATGAGCTGACCTACTTGCCCGGTTACGCTGATATCGTCTCTCAAGACCATCAGCTTAGGTTTCAAAAAAAAAGGAGAAACAAGTGTTAGACTCTGGTAATCTCAAACTTCTGCTAATGTTTTTTTTTTTTTTCATTAGTGTTTATTGCCATAGTATAATGTATGCCATTTTAATAATTCAATGCCAACTTTGCCAATATTTCAGAAGATATGCTAAACAAGTAAGCAATGTATGCCATTGTTTAGCATGTGCTACCATCTATGATTTTGTTCGAGAACCTAGGTAAGTTGGTAGCAGTTGAACTTCAAAATAATAAGGATTTGAAAGAAAGTAGTGAAATAGGTACAGTCAAACCTGGATAAGTGAGAACTGGATAAGTGAGAAAACTCTATAAGTGAGAGTAATAGCCAGGACCCGTCATTTTACGCTCCCAAAACCTCTATAAGCGAGAAACAGAAACCTCTCTAAGAGAGAGTCGTTTTGCCCTCATGGACCTCCGTAAGTGAGACTGCTACTTATCTATACCTCTATAAGCGACAGTCGAGCTTTATTTATTTATATTATTTAGGAGGAACAAATGACAAAACAAATTAGAAATTTAACATCTGCTATTTTATGACTCATTCTTAACTTTCGTGGAACTTCCTACCATTGTTTTTGTATTGTTTTCTCGTCAATATTGAACCTATTCTATTTCGTGGAACTAAATAACGTTGTTATTTTATCGCATTCTTTTCGAATGGACACGTGTGCCTGTGTACCGTCCTGTTTGTCGGACTTACTCAGTTTATCGTTAGTCAATTGCAAAAGAAAGTTTTGTTCTGCATCATGTCAAAACGGAAAATTAAAATACTGTCATTAAGTGACAAGCTTAAAATAGTAAAGGCGTTTGAATCCAGAAAATCGCGAAACGAAATTCAGAGGGTGCATTAGCGAGAAACTCGTAGTAAGAAACCTCTATAAGCGAGAATGAGATTGTGCTCCCTTGAACTCTCGCTTATCCAGGTTTGACTGTATATATTTTAATGTTAATGTTATACAACTTATATAAAATATAATTAAAGAACATTTAAAAAAATTATCGGTATCTATGAAGGTACATATATATAAAGCTGTATATTTAAAAAAAAAAAACTTTATGCTCTTCCTTGCATACTTCATACGGTTTGTACAATAATCAAAGTACACATACCTATAATAAAACCAGAGCTGTCTTTAGATTGGTACCCATTTCCTTTTTACCGCGCGCTTACTAGAGGGCGCTGTCTTTGATGATCTTTGATGAGATGTCATTGAGTAAAATGCTGTAGACATTTTCTATTAGACTATCAACTGAAAGTTCAGTAGTAAGTAGGAATGTGATTAGAAATTATTAAAGACCTGAGTATTAATACGCTTTTATTAGCTTCAGACGTATGCATGCTAGTATGTAACGGAATCTTTGAACATGATTTTGACCCCCTTTAAAACGTCGGATTAACTCGAAATTTGGTATACTTATTAAGGATCGATGACAATTCATTATTTAAAAAATAATTTAAAAAAATTGAAATTCAACTATAAAATGAAAAATAAATAATAGTTTAAAAAAGTTATTATTTATTTTTCAACTAAGTAGTAAGTTACGGAGGTTGAGTGAGCATTTCGACCAAACTTGGTGAAACTTGTTCATGAAATCTTGTGTGTTAATCAAGATCAAATTTTCAAAATGAAAAATACGGACTGGCTTTTTTTAAATTAAAATCTATATATATATATATATAAAAGAAAGTCGTGTTAGTTACACTATTTATAACTCAAGAACGGCTGAACTGATTTGGCTGAAAATTGGTGAGGAGGTAGCTTAGAACCAGGAGAAGGACATAGGATACTTTTTATCACATTCACGTGGGACGTGACATAAAACGTGGTATAACAAAACGCAACTGATATGGAATAACAAAACGAAACTGACAGCTAAACGTAATGTAGTCTATGGTTAATTATAGTAGAATTTTGAAGTTGACCGGTTGATGTGTTTGAAATAAACCGTGTGGCGGAACAAAGTTCGCCGGGTCCACTAGTATAAAATAAAAAACATATTACTTTGTCAATAAGTACTATAATATCTTTTCGTTTTATCACTGACACATGAAAAAATCACGCAATAGAAACTATTTATGTGATATTTTTCACAAATAACGCAAAAATACAAATTAATATAATATTGTGTACAATAATCGTTCCACACATTCGGGAAATTGGTTAATTTTATTACATAAATCAGTATTAACTGATGACCAAAAACATAATGAATAACAAAGTAACATCTGACCAGAATAATAGTAATTATTAGTGTAGAGACCACGAATCGCAAATAACTTTTAATATGGCAACAAAGTATTCTATGTGCAGTCTTTTCAATTACAGTCAAATTTACAGAATATATTTTTGAACTAAACTAGATAATTAAATATTATAACATTTTAATTATATTATTACGTAAAACTATAAAAATCACGAGGGGACAAAATTAATACATAATCTAATTAAGTAACAATAAATCTAAAGAGATTTTGGGTTTAGTTGAGATCTAATTCGTCCAAAGTATAAATAAAACTCTCTTGTCTATTACAGTGCTTCATATGGCTTCATTATCTCTTTGGTATTTGCAAACTGTTTAGTTTATATGAGGTTTAAATAGAGAAACCGATCCTCAAGAAAAGGAAATAATAATTGCATACTGATCGCTTTCATGACCCGGCAATGTAAAGCAACCAGAAGTTTATTTGTGTTACATTACGTGTTATTATTAACACGAGTACTAACTATTATTTTTATATTGGGTTGAAATAACGGTTCTCTTTCATCTAAGATATGTATTATAAAAACTGAGAATTAAATTGTCACATGACATCTGATGATTCCTATAGGAATATTGCACAAACAAAATTAGGATTATTTGAAAATATTGTAGAATATTTTTTATAGTAGTGTACGTACACATGTATTATAAAAATTGAGAATCAAATTGTCACATGACATCTGATGATCCCTATAGGAATATTGCACAAACAAAATTAGGATTATTTGAAAATATTGTAGAATATTTTTTTATAGTAGTGTAGGTACACATGTATTATAAAAATTGAGAATCAAATTGTCACATGACATCTGATGATTCTTATAGGACTATTGCACAAACAAAATTAGGAACATTCGAAAATATTGTAGAATATTTTCTTTAGTAGTGTAGGTAGATAACTATAACTAAGCATACAGACAAACCTTTACTTATATCGATATATGGCCTCGTCTGAAAGGTAATGTAATTTAAACTAATTTTTTTTAATAATTTGTACACCACTGATACGCGTTGACCGTGCTAATAACAATGTTTACTGGCTGCCAACCGTGAGTGGCCGTGAGTGGCCGTGAGCTTCGTTTTAGTTGAATATTAATTCTAGTAAACACTAAAAGTTCATATAGCAATAACAATATTAGCAAGCTGGTTTCTAAATGAGAATTTTCGATATCAATGCGTTAGGGCACATATTAATTCATTTATTAAATTCGGATAATAGTATAAATTGCGGTATCGACAATTTTATACTCATTGACATAATTTCATACTTTCAACGACAAAGGCTAAGGCCGATTAAGGCTGACACCACTGATGTTCGCACGATAGATAATTTTTCTTTTTAGTCGTAACATTATAATAATATATCCCTTTTATAAATATATAAACATATAATATGTATTTTTAAGATATGTATTTTATTTGACACATTCAGTATTCCATTCTCAAACTGCACACGGCTTAATAGTATCTAGACGCAATAAATAAATAATTTATTTACTAATTATGTTTAATTTTCTGAAACCATCATCACACAAGGTCACTACCCCGTGCATCAGCTGTTTTTATTTTGTCTACTAATTTAACGAAATGTTTCGACGTAATTTTAACCGACTTCAACACGTCGGATTCACTTGAAGAATTCACACAGATTTCAAGAAAGGGTAACGATCAGATAATTACTTTAAACAAAAAAAAAAGTATGTATTTATTAAACCATGATTTTATGCTTTTAGAGCTATATTTTTATCGGCAACGATTCCATTATACCCGGTACTTTAATCACTTTGACGGGTCAAACGCCGCGATCGACTAACGCCGAAATTCGTTCGATACCAAAATATGATATTTTTCTATTGGTGGTCGAATTCCATTACCGCTCGGGTATATTTATTCATCCACGCTTGTTACCGGCCGTGGCGCACGCATCCTTGAAGTTACTAACATTAAAAACACTAAAATAATCGTCGTGTATAAACCTTACGATGCTCTCGATCGGACACAAAAATGTATTGTAAATTTTCAAGTCATCTATCGGATCGACTACCCTCATAACGACATTGTGTTTCGTATTGCAGAAACTAAGTTTGTTCGTCACGTCCTCGCCGTTGAAGACGACCCGGAAGTAGAAGTCCCGGGCCACGGCCTTTCTCTTCGCGTATTTGACCTCATCGCGCAGATCCTTCTTCCTGTACACCTCAAATATCAATCTCGAGGCGTACTGTATGTTGTAATATTGGTAATTGCTCAAGCCGAGGGCCAAGACGAGCGCTTGTAACGTCTTATCGTGACCGGAGTATATCACGAATCTGGGCTTGTTCTCCGATATCATGCGTATCATGTTCTGGACTATGTTGTGCAGCAGACCGTACGAGACGAGCAAGCCCCGTTTTCGATTGTGAATATTCTTGATCTCCTGTCGGTAGCTCCACTCCAAGTACGCGAACAACGAGAGAACGTGCTCTTTTTTGATGCAGAAGTCTTCGGTTTCGGGCGTCGGCTCCTTGTAGTCTTCGTCGAAGTCCGCATCGATTCTAGCGTCGTTCGGAAAATTAAAATCCGCGTCCAAATTCTTCTTCACTATGACTACGTCGTCGTACGTGTCGCCGGTATCCAAATATCTCTGCTGATAATACAACAACTTCTCCCTCTCCATTTGGGCATCAAAATCTAAGGGCGCTTTCTTATCTTTCAGGTCATAGTATTTTCCGATCACTTCTCTGGCTTTCCTACCCGCGTCTCCGTTTATATCCACCTGATTGTTTATATAATCTAGTTCCATATTCAAAGTGTCGATGTCGACATCTAAAAGGTTTCTGGTTCCCGTTTTGCTTTCGTGTAGTCTGTGCCTTTTGTCTATGGTCAGTTTTGGTTTTTCGTGATTGGCTTTGTGAGTGCACGGCAAAGGGACATCGTGGCACATATAAGCTAGAAGGGCATCCCGTACGACATCCGCGTCTGTACGTTCTTGCGTCTCGAATAACACTTTAGATAACTTACTGACCAGCTCTTTGATTGCGGGATGAGACTCTAAGCGATTCCTTGCTTGATTGTTGATTTTTCTGCAAATGTGACGGAATTTTCGAGATTTATGAACCGAATCAGCACTCGAAGCCGCATACCGGTCTGCCAACTTTCCACTATGGACTACTCAAAGCGTTCAACCTATTCCAGTAGACTCTCACCGCAGACTTTTAGCAGCAATTTTTAATCTTAGAACAACACTATTTTGTGGCACAAGAACCATTCTCATTGCTGTTTATTTATATATGTTGCATGTTTTTCTGAAATTAACAATTGCTACTCAAAGTCCGTCAGTCCCAGAGAATAAGCTGAGGCTAACTTGGCAAAAAACTAAATTTCTAATATAGATCTAGAAGTATCCATATTATGAGAAATCGGCAAATTTTTAAAGCAAAAAGAAGCCAGTCTTGTCAGCCCAGACTCCAGCACTGGTAGTAAAGAGAAACTGTACTACCGGTGTTAGGGTCTTGTGAGTCCTCACGGGTAGGTTCCCACCACCCTTTCTATTTCTGCCGTGTTCCAGCAAAACGTTTCGGTTCGAAGGGTAGATCGTTGTAAAACTGAGACTTACAACTCATGTCTTCAGGTAGGTGGTGGAATTTACGTTGTTGGTATCTATTGGCTACGGTGACCTCTTAACACCATTGTGCTCAGTGCGAGTTTTTTTACTTTCTCGATAGCGTACAACTTACCTCAAATTTGTATGGAGTTCGAACAGCACCCCTAGCGGCTAACGTAAGCAAACGTTTCAACTTCATACAAAATTGAAGTTAACTTTTACGTTATCGAGAACGTTAAAAAACTCGCACTAAAGACACAGGTCTTAAAATCGTCCACCCATGTAAGCAAAAAACAACTAACGATCAATCTCATAAAGGGTGATTGCACATAATTATATTTTTTTCCTTAGATGGGTGGACGAGCTCACAGCCCACCTGGTGTTAAGTGGTTACTGGAGCCCATAGACATATACGACATAGATGCGCCACCCACCTTGAGAAATAAGGTCTAAGGTCTCAGTATAGTTACAACGGCTGCCCCACCCTTCAAACCGAAACGCATTACTGCTTCACGGCAGAAATAGTCGGGGTAGTGATACCTACCCGTGCGGACTCTCAAGAGCTCCTACCACCAGTAGAAAATGTCAAAGCGTATGTGTTCCATACTTGTCGATGGCGTGATGAGCGGGACAGGCGCAGTCCCTGAAGCAGAAGGAGACGCTGTGCGCCTCCCGACAGGCGGCCAGACGCGCCCCCGCCCCGCCCCGCGCCGCCCCCCACCACGCCCCCGAAAGCGACAGGAACGTGCGGCGATAGCGGGTGCTGTACGACACCGCCACACCTACACAAAAATTTTACTGCTGAACTAAAAAACTGTAGAATAGGATTGCAGCGCATAAAATAAAACTTCCACTGTTCCAAAATCTCCTGTTCTAATAATAATTAATAACTAGCACTTTTATTACGTCTTGCTCATTTTTCAACCGTCTTCGCCATCTTCCCATTCCCTGACATTCTGTCTGTCATTCTCTTCTCCCTTTCTTTCCGTTTTCTCTCACTCCTTAACGTTCCGTTCCACACTCTTTTCATACGTTTCGTTCTCACCAATCCTACAAAACTCAGAAGACAAACACGATTTAGCACGCCAGTTTTTATTTTTATTTTTTTCTTGTAGGCGGACGAACATACCGCCCACCTGATGGTGAGTGGTTACTGTCGCCCATAGACTTCAGCCAGGTTCAGAACCAAACCGCTGCCTACCGTTCTCTCCATAAGCCTCGTTTGAAGAAGGACATGTCATAGCGCTCGGGAATTACAGTGGAGAGCTCATTCCAAAGCCGGATGGTACGTGGCAAAAAAGAGCTCTGAAAACGCACTGTGGTTGAACGCAGTGGCTCCAGGTAGCATAGATGAACTTTACTCCGGTGCCGGGCGGTGCGACGTTATAAACGAGATGATGGATTCATCTCAAAAAATTCCTCGGAGCACTCCCCGTGGAACATACGGTACAAACTACAGACAAACAAAGTCCCTCCGCAGACCCAGAGGTTCCAAACGATCGGTGAGAATGAGATTATCGACAATCCGAACGGCCCTCTTCTGTATGAATAAGACAGAAACTTCTAGAGTATTCGCTTCGGCCGCCTGTGAACTGCACACATTGTTTTTACGAGTCAAACCTTATAACATTCTGTAATACTAACTAAGCATAAAATGAATTACCAATTAATATTGAATTCGATAACAAAACTATAATTTACCTGTGTCCTTTTTTCCCTGTGGATCAATATTGTCTAATCCTAATTTATCTGCATACGCTGCCCTCAGAATGTTACCTGAAAAAATATTATCCTCTTATTAAGACACTAGCGACCCGCCTTCGCTTCGCTTCGGAAACATTAAATTTTGTTATTGATAGCTGAGTCCCGCGATGTTACCCGCGGTTATTGTCGTACCGCGGGTGAAGCCGCGGGGCGAAGCTAGTCTAAAAAAATTAGCCTAAGTTACTCCTTATATCATCAGCTACCTATAAGTGAAAGTCCCGTGAAAATCGGTCCAGCCGTTCCAGAGATTAGCCGCAACAAACAGACAGACAGACAGACAAAAACTGTAAAAATTGTTATTTTGGTGTATGTACCGTATATATATTTATATGCATGTAGTAAAAAGAGCCAATTTCACTATTACAAACAGACACTCCAATTTTATTTATATGTATAGATTTCCTCAGCGGGGAAATCGTAAAAAATTACTGAACCTCAGACAACTTTTTGGACAATACCAAATATTCAGTTCTCAATCTCCTCCACTTGCATTCACGGTGTATAAAAAATAACCAGTATGCTCCATGTTTAAGTCACAAGAAACACTAAATTAGTTTTAAATAATAAATACTGCATCAGTCAAAGTCATTTCCGTGACATTTCCTAAAGGTCTATTCCGACTACGCGAAGATAAGCTCACAGGCTTAATTTTTTTTCCTCAAAAAATCTACTGCCGGGTCGGAATCGCGACCCACTAAGAAAAGCCGCCCAAAAACTCAGTGGGTTGTGTCTATGGGCTAGTTCACACGTCGAGCTCGGGTCAAAGCAGATGTCCCCATGCAAAGTTATAAAAACTTGTGGATGCAGATCCGATGTCCGATAAGTCCTTCAACTCACCCACAGTTATCATTTGCAGGAGTCCCCTTGGCGTCAACTGTCCCAGGGCACAGCTGGTCCCGGCCGCCCGAGTCGGCAGTGAAGGGAAATTGTGAAAAGGACCTGTTGAGGTCACCCACCACGCCCGACCTGACGCGCTTGCGTTAGCTACATAGTCTTCGTAACTACGATCAAATGAGGGTTTTAACTATATTTTTTATTTTTATTTTATTGTTTAGATGAGTGGACAAGCTCACCTGGTCTAAGTGGTAACAGGAGCCCATAGACATCTACAGCTTAAATGCGCCACCCACCTTGAGATATAACTTCTAAGGTCTCAATATAGTTAATACAGCTACCCCACACTTCAAGCCGATGCGCATTACTGCTTCACAGCAGAAACAGGCGGGGCGGTGGTACCTACCCGTGCGGACTCACAAGAGGGCCTACCACCAGTAATTACACAAATTATAATTTTGCGGATTTATGATTTTTATTACACGATGTTATTACTTCATCGTGGAAGTCAACTGTGAGCATTTGTTAAGTACATACGTATTTCATTATAAAAATTGATTCGGAAAGGGATTTGAACACCGGTGTATAGCTAGATACTAATGCACCGGACGTCTATACACATAAAAAAAGATTGGCAGACGTTGGGTGTACCCTTGGCATTGCTGATGTTCATGAGTGATGATAACCATTCATCATCAGGAAAGCCGTGTTCGTTCTATCTACAATGGCAATATTTTTTTTTGTTGTTGCTTAGTTGGTTCGGAGGCGCATTTACGTTGTAGATGTCTATAGGCTCCAGTAACCACTTAACGCCAGGTAGGCTGTGAGCTAGTCCACCCAAGCAATAAAAATAAATAAAAATAAAAACATTTTTTTCGATATCAAACCTTTTCAACAGTGGCGAAACAATTGACGAATCACAAGGTAATTTATCACCTCCTTTGAGATGTGTTAGTGGACCCCTATCTCCATGCCTGGTGATCACGAGCACACCATGCAACAACCAAGCATCCTCATCTACTGCACCTGAATTAATATGTTTAATTGTTATAAAGTACAGTACAATAAATAGACAAGCAAATACAGCAAAAACAATATGCCCAAATTCAACCTATTTTCTGTATGATGTGGCAAAATTTTACATGGTTTTAATTTTTTTAAATCACTATTTCCCATATTCTGAATTCTGTGATCTAACTTTGATGGAAATGAAATGCAAAACGGAACATGAGATTAAAATTTAAATATTTTCAGTGTGTCAAGATGGGAAAACCAAAAATAATGTATTTAAACTTAGAAAATATTGACATCATAAAAAGAAAACAATTTACATAACATATCAAAAAGCAAAGTTTATATTGGTATATTAAAAGATATTTATATATATACACATATCAAATAAAAAACCTGGTTCAAAACTATTACAGTGAAACATAGGTTTTTCAATAGACTGATACTTTTGTATAGTTTCACAAGTTACAATGTTAAAGTTAATTTTAAACTATAATTATGTAACTAAGGTATAAGTATCATTTACACACAGTTATTGAAATGACAAATTATTGAATTGTCTACTGCTGACAGTCAGATACTTATCCTGAAAACAATACTTTCAGTACAAGCATATTTTGCCAATTTAAAAGAATAATGACTACTACTTAATAATCTGCTTTTTATCTACAGGGCATCTCTATTAGGTACATACTCTGGCATAGATTATTGTCACCTTATAGGCACCCAAGAAAAGAGAAAGAAAGAAACCATTCATGAAGCTAGAATGTAATAAGATATATATCACTCGCTAAACTAAGATGACAAAATTTATAACAATTTTAATTGATTAATTAGTAAATATTTTCAGTTTATCAGTTATTCAGTATATTCATAAAATATCCAACATACTATGTGTATTTAAAATAATAAAACTATTGAAACGTTCAAATCACATTTTTTAAATTACATTTTATGACTTGGTTAGTTGTATTGTTTGTTTTACTTACCTTCTGAACCTCTCACTATATTATCAGCTGGATTGCAAGCTCTCATATATATCTTTCTAAACTTAACATCACTTTTTGATATGTATTGATCTTTATATATTTTCTTGGGTATGCTTATTTCTTCGCTCACCGACATGTATTTGTACATCACTAAAAATAATGAAATAAATTTTGGATTATTATGAGTTTATCTGGTGTTGAGACCTGACTAGGCTAAAGTAGGATTTCATACACGTATGCCCTGTGATTCGCCAGGCTGTTATCAGCGTATGATCTTCTGACCCATTTTTGTTTAATCAGAATATTAAGTTTTTTTTATCACACATTTAAAGTATTTACCCGTTATGAGAACAAAAATCCAGAGACTCATGCCGAGGTAACAATAAAAAGCTCTGTGATGAAATGAAAGCTTCATCATTTCACTCATTATTCTGTTTTTATTTGTGAGTACAGGCGGCATTTTTAGCTACTGCCCACTCACATTACTGCTTATAGAATTTCAATGTATATTGTATTTCTTTTTAGCACTATGGAAAAGGTAGGTACTCATTTTTGAAGACACAAATTTTCTGTTGCGAAGAAAACAAATAAAGCAAACTCTGTAAACAAAAATATGAGTTTGCAAACAACTCTAACTAAATTTTATCACTTATTTTTAAATTGTCTCTATTTCTGTGAAATTGACAACTGTCACTGTCTGAGCAAGTGGTGGGCTTAAATCGGATATGCAAACGTATCATAGCACACAATTTTTTTTCCCCTAAAAAACAAAATGTTGTTTTGCTGTACGAAACATGTTTTGACAGTCCGCAACCATGCCGCGTTTATTCTGACTGGTTATTTCTGACTGGTGGTAGGATCTCTTGGGAGTCCGCGCGGGTAGATACCACCACCCCACCTATTTCTGCCGTGAAGCAGTAATGCGTTTCGGTTTGAAGGGTGGGCCAGCCGTAGTAACTATACTGAGATCTTAGAACTTATATCTCAAGGTGGGTGGCGCATTTACGTCGTAGATGTCCATAGGCTCCAGTAACCACTTAACACCAGGTGGGCTGTGAGCTCGTCTACCCATCTAAACAATAAAAAAAGGGATAGTTTTTGTCATCGGGGGTTAGGATATTGAAGAACTAAATTTTAAATCTTGATACGAATTCCCTGTTGCAAGAAATCTTAATGTTACAACCAATTTAACGGCCGTCTGGTGTAGTGGTAAGTGTCATGGTCACTACACAAGGGGGTCGCGGGTTCGAATCCCGCCAAGGGAAGATATTTCTATGATAAATATAAATGTCTTTTCCAGGGTTATAGATGTATATTAAATATGTGTGTGTGTATAATAAAAATCTTACATTTATTTCCGTTATCTGGTACCTGTAACACAAGTTCTTTACGAACTAATCACGGGACCAGTTAACGTGGCATGACTGTTTCTTTTGGACTTATGCTATCGTAGGATTAGTTAAGTAATAGTTATACAATAGATATATAATAGACTATCGTAGGATATTATCCTGCTTTTGAATAAACGGTGTCATAAGGTTTAATATTGGATCAAACGAGATCGAATCCATTTATAGATAATTTTTGAAGTCTGCTGGTTCTAAATCACTCATAATGTTCATATTTGCTAACATTCCGCACAGCAATAAATATTTCCTCACCGATAATATTGTTTTTTTTTTGAGAAATTGAAACAAACAAAAAATGTGAGCCGTCACGGGCGCCTCGCAGATGTGGAACATTGACATTATTTTGTAAAAGTAATATGCAGAAAAGAACAGATTGTGATAGGAGCTAAATATGTCATAATGATAAAATAAAATAATACGAAAAAATAATTTGTTTTCAAGTAAAACACAGGTTATATGTACTGTAGTAAACCACACTGTATACACTACGGAGTATACACTATAGGTTTCCGAGCTCAGTGTAGCGAGAGAGATGGCTTAGTGCCGGATCGAGTGGGAAAGAATCGCACAGTCGATTGCGCATGGCGACGCGTCGCCACGGCATGCGTCGCCACGCCAGAAATCGGTTTTACGTGCGGCTATAGATGTTTCACATCAAAAACAAGAACAAAATAAAACAAAAAAAAACAAAAAAATTGTTGTTGTCTAGACAATACTGGGGCCATCCTCTTGCGCAGATGACACGTCTTACTTCGTTGCGTTTAAACTGACAATTAATTCAGTAACTGAATTTAGAACAGTGTAATCAGAAGCTTCTAAATTTGCTTCTGAATTCAGTCGACTAAATTCAGCTAAATGTAATAAGCCTTTTATATGACTTACGCGAGTATGGTGTTCGCTCACGTGGCCCGCACACACGTAGACACCCTCCAATCCGTACAGTCCCGTTTTTGCAGGTTAGCCGTCTGAGGAGATTGGGTTCTGTAGGTGAGGGGCTATTTAAAAAGACTCTACTTCATGGTTAATATATTATATTGCAAATACTTTGTACATTAGTACACCATTACAATATTTTTATTTTTATAAAACTCTAAGATGTTGCTCTGACCGTGTCTAGATGAGAAGTCAATTGTCTTCGCTGACGAGAAGACAATCATCTGTTTTAAACATTTAAATAAACATTCCAATATTCGAAACTGTAATCTAACATGTGTCAAGTGCTGCCTGCCATTGCTTCCATATTCAAATTCCAACACCACTGACTACTCTCCGAATCCTGATCACGCAGGAGCCAGTCACTGTCGACGCCCCAGACACGTCCTTGTGGATAAATCAGATCCATATCCTTTGCATTTGACGCCTTCAGCTCTAATACTACGCGCCGGCTTAGGGACCCCGATAACCGTACTCGTCGATTTTTTTTATTGCCCTTGAAGGCTGACGAGCATACGGCCCACCTGATGGTGAGTGGTTGCCGTCACCCATGGACTTCAGCAATGCCAGGGGCAGAGCCAAGCCGCTGCCTACCGCTTAATACTCTCCACAAACCCTCGTTTCAAGAAGGACATGTCATAGCGCTCGGGAAACACCGTGGAAGGGAGCTCATTCCATAGCCGGATGGTACGTGGCAAAAAAGAACTCAACAAAGAGGTCGACATGCAACCTAACCCATGCATCAGCCAGCTAAGTTTCTCGCCGGATCTTCTCATCGGGTCACGATTTCGATCCGGTAGTAGATTCATTCGCGAAGCAGTTGCTCTTGAGTTGTTAGGTCTCCTTCAGAGGCATTCGGGTAGCTATTAGCAAATTTCACCTCTTCTGGCTGAGCTTTTACTCGCCCACCCGTCCTGGTGAAACGGGAAAGGCTTCCAGACCACCAGTAATCCTTCAATCATAAAAAAAGATACATGTTTTGCTTTACGAAATTTATCAATCTAGAATTTATGGAACTAAAATTATTTTCAAAATAGTTAGCGAATGAAGTTAATTTGAGTGAGTTAAGATTAAATAGTACGAAGTATGTATTGGTTGGATGAGATGAATTAAAACATCTCAATAAAATGGTAGCAATTGAGATTACATATACAGGGTGTCCCTAAAATTTGTGTCAAACTGAAGTTCAAAGGTAGACCATCACTAGGGCTATCCGAATCACTCCCATGTATGTTCCGCGATAGTTTTCGAGTTATGATTTATGATAGAGTGAATTGTCAATACTTTGAAGTTCCCGCAATTGATCAACGCGTTCATTTTTGAAGATGAAGCTTCGCGACAGCAGCGCTGCGTCTGTGGGACTTCTTTCGTGGCGCGGACTCTACCTACTTGTTGGATCTTGTTTTGACAGATATTGACTTGTTTTGAATTAGACTTGCGCAAAACATCACTTCCCAATGTAATGTGATATGACATCACTTTTACAGACAGGTGATATTACTCGAAAACATTACACATCACTCTTAACATTACTCGGTGCGTTCAATAGATACTGTGACGACGAATACATTGTATCTATACACCCGAATCATTACCTAAGTGATGTGTATCAACACATCACTTAGGTAATGATTCGGGTGTGTCATTACAGTAGTGTATTACAATACAAAGTATGAACTTTGTATTGTAATACACTGTTATATTACTTGACAGAGATTGACTTACTTAATAATATAATAATTTTATTTTTTACTTAATATAATTTATTGTGGGATGAACGGATTTCATATGGCGACTTAGACTGCAAATTGAGCTCGACAATAATGTTAATATACGAGAGCAGTAGATGCATTGTTTCGGCGCGATATCCTCAAAGTGCATCCAAGGAGGACTGTACTTTCATTTAGACGCCGTTATTTCTTTCACTTATTAAACACGCATTAAAACAAATAATAAAACTATCTTCAAACAAGTGCTTAAGTAATTCAAATCAAACACAAAAATTAATATGAAATATTACTAAACAATTACGAGCGACTAGCGATTTTACAAAAGTTGCGAATAAAAAATTAAGTAAGTACTTGCGGGGAACTACCGGCTGGCCGCATGAAAAATATAAACACAAATACCTATATTAAAATTCAGACGTACCATAGGTATAAAAATGTACCTAGCGGCCAGGACATACGGTTCAAAATCACTAGGAATAATTCCGTGTCGCTTGCTCATTTATTTTGCGTCGATCGGTCTGTCTCCCTCGCTCGGTTCCGTTCGTGTATTAAGCAACATTACACGACAAAGAAAGAAACATGTTGGGTGATGGTGTGATGTTTGTTTCCTTCGCGTAATGTGTGATGTTGCATTACATCGTAGAGTAATATTACCCGAGTAATATCACTCGCATTACTTACACATGTCTATTTTGAATCCAAACATGTTTACTTGACCGTTCGTACTTCGTTGCTCATGCTTCAACTCAGTCAAACTCAGTCTGTACCTAAATCCTAAAAAAAATACAATCTGCTTGTCCAACATCATTCAGAATTTCATTAAAAAAAAAATTATTTGCTCGTTCTTGATCAGTGAATTTCACAAGCTTGAAAGTTTCACTGTTGTGTATTCAAGTTATATCGCTACTACAAAATGCCTCCTAAAATAGATCAGGGCTTGATAATAATTTTGGATAATGGAAGAAACGTTGCAAATGCCGATGAAAAAGACAAAAAAAGCTTTTATGAGATGGCGCGTGAATGTGCCGCTCGCATTATTGAAACCAAAATTCTCAGTCAAGCTAAGAACAGTTATGTGGGTGTAATTCTGCTCGGATCGAAGAACACGAAGAACAGCGTAGCTGAACAAGCTCCTGGAGAGTTCAAACATATAGAATTGTTATCCGCCCTGCAAACACCTACTTGGCAAATGATTAGGGAACTACCGGAGTCGGTGAGTGGTTTTCGTTATGATTGTTGAAATCACTACATGTAATTGTCGTTTTATTTCTAAGGACTGAATAATTGCGTTCCAAATGTAAAACATACTTTTCCAGCCCAGCAAGTCTAAAGGCGATTGGATGGATGCTCTAATTGTAGCAGCTGATCATTTCAAAAATGGTGTCTACGGCGTAAAGATAATTAAAACAAAAATAATTCTTCTAACCAACTTTTGCACTTTAACGAAATATGATCATGATGAAATACAACAGGTAAGTTTCCACATATGTTGTTTGTTTATGATTCTAAGGCCCCCAGGTGAAGCAAATGACATCAATAGTATTTTTCCATCACAATCAATCTTGGGCTTACCTATTACTTCAGTAGACAATAGTACTACTGCAAGAAGTCAGGTATATTAATTGCTAAACGTAATATCATGCAAGATCCCTTAACCAAATTTTATGACAAATAATTGAGAATGGCCTATTATGTATTTTAAGGTCCTGAATGGTTTCAAGGCTGACAACCTAGAAGTCAATGTCATAGGACCTAACCTTTATGATGAAGGACACATCAAAAACAATGACTTTGAACTTGCAAGGCTGTTTGTTGAAGAAACCAAAGGTGTTGCTGAGCCTTTTGGATCGGCAATGAGTTTTTTACTATTTCATCAAAGAAAATCAGTGAATTCTGTTGCTTGGAATTCTGACCTCAGTATAGGTCCGGACTTGAAAATACCCATTTCATCCTACATCAAAATTGATGATAAGCCTGTCGTTGGCAAGTGGACAAAGAAGGTTAAAGATCCTGTGACATCAAAACCAAGTAAAGAGGAAGCAATAAAAAAAGAACGAATATTTTATAATGCAGAGAACCACAGTAAAGTAAAATCAGATTCAAGAACGAAAGGATATCAATATGGGCAACAGATAATACCATTTACTCAAAATGAAGAAACTGAACTCTATGCTTCTGGTGAAAAAGGTTTGACAGTTTATGGTTTCACACATAAAGAGAATATACAGTGGCAGTGCTTGACTGATGTGGGATTAAGTTACATTTTTGGGAGAAAAGGTGATGTTAACGCTCAACAAACTGTCAAATGTTTGGTTGAATGTCTACTTGAACTCAACTTAGTTGGTGTAGCAAGGAGAGTTTGTATCAGTAACTATGCACCAAAAATGTACGCTCTAATACCAAATGTAGACAATGAAAACGGAATATATTTGTCTATGATACAATTGTGTTACAAAGAAAATATTAAACACATGGTTTTTCCTCCAACAAATTTAAAAAAATATTCCTGCACAGATGCACAAGTTAATGCTTTCAAAGAACTGATTGAAGCCATGGATTTGACTAAAGCTTATGATGATACATATGATGACACTGAAGCATTTCCTATTGGTGAAACAGTGAGTCCTACCGCACAATATATATTAGACTGTATTGCATTTCGAAGTCTGAATCCAGCAGCACCACTACCACCACCAAGAGATGAGATAATGACATTATTCAAAGTACCTCCACTAGTTGAAATGAGATCTCGAGGAGCACTGGAAAAGATTGAAAAGCTATTTCCACTGAATAAAATTGAACCAAGACCGAAAAAGAACAAGCAGCAACAAGAAAGTCCCCAAACCTTAACAGTATTACCAGTTACCAAAAAAGCAGAAAATGAACCATTTGAGATACCTAAGATTTCATTATTCATGGATAAAAATTCAACAGAAACTACTAGTATAGGTACTATGAATCCCATTGATGATTATAAAGCTCTTACAAACAAAGGCAAAAGTTTGTCTGATTTGGCTACAGAAATGACAGAAAGTATACAAAGTTTACTGTATTACAATTTGCACGATGATTCCAAAAAAGCTGTAAATGCCATGAAGTTCTTTAGGAATGAATGCATTAAGTCAGATCCATCAATTTACAATAATTGGCTTCAAAAACTTAAAATATCTCTGAATCACGAAAAAAATACAAAGGTATTGGAAGTCATAAATGAAAATGAGTTGAATGTAATATTAAAGTCTGAAAGCAGTTTGAGTACATATGAGAATGAAGACAGTCAGCTATATGAGAATGACACGATTCCTAACACTTTGCCCGTTGTAATAGATCCTGAAGTGGATGCTTTATTTGATGAAATGTAAACAAATATGAATCAAGTTAGCAGTTAGCAAATATTAAATGAAAATAAAAAAATAATTTAATGTGATATTTTAGCTTTAGACAATTCAAAATTATGCCCCCTGAAGTCTAGTATTAACTAATGTAATTTCAAACTAAACTTGAAAGTGTGCAATGGTATTTTTCCATCCAACTTAAGATATTAGTTTTTGAAGACAGAAAATGTAATGAGCAACATGGGAAGTTTGATACAAACAAACATAAAATGTCATCTTATCTATTTATTAATATTATGTTATGTAATGGTTCACAATGTATACCCAATTTATTGTTAAAACCTTTTCTATAAAACAATAAATGTTTATTTTTACTAAACTTTTTCTTTTTTAATGACAATGGTCCTTATCATTGAGTTCATATTCTTATTCTAATAAATTTAACACAATACATCAAATCTCTTATAAATTCATTTTGTTAATAAAGTGATCATTGTACTCCTGTAGGGTTTATTTTGTTTTGTGAGTGAAGCAACTCTAGAAACTCTTGAAGGGACAAATCCTCTTGGCAGTCTGTGTCCAAATCATGTTCCAGCTGTGCTTCCATAGAGTTAGCCTCTGGACTCAATACGATATTTTCATCTAGAACGACGTGATTTAGTCGCGATTTTAAGCTTTGTAATATTTCTTCAAGTTCCATACATTTGTTTCTGATCGAAGCTCCCAGATCTGATGCAGGGTCGATGTCGTCTATCGTAGCGTTCTCCGAAAAAGAATTTGCAGGTGTCCGCGTCCGAGGAGGCTGTATCATGTTGAACAAATTATCGGGTACTCCATTACCGTTTCTCAAAGGAGGAGATCTTGACTCTGTAAACTCTGCTAGTATTTCGTCGATAATATCTTCAGCGTTCTGTCTCGGATCCACGACATCTTCAGAAGAATCGATACCACTCTCGTTGTTTACTAATTTGTTATTCGAATCGAGCTTCATTTTCTTAACAGTTACCCACGTAAATATCGATTTGTTATCAAAATAAATATTGGAATGGACGAAAAGTCAGATGATTTTTGTGAGGCCATAGATTATATGAGGAATACCACAGACTAAATAGATACTCTATTTCGAAAAATGTGATTACACGCGTTTGTAATCAATCGGAACTTGTTTTATTTTGATAATTTAAATTTTCAGGTTTTAATATTTGATAATGCGATAATTATAAAATTGCCCGCATTTAATAATTTTCAATGTCTTATAATATAGTGGCTCAGCATTCCTGAAAGTGCAAAACAGAAAATAAAACAAAGTGGTGGGAATTTCATTCTCGGGTTATTCCGGTTTCACCAGAACCTTCCATTTTGTCTTAATTTCATCCAAATTAATTTGGCGCAAATAAACCTATTGTTATGATGCTACCGTTATAAACTTTCGCTAGCTCAGCGTTAGATTGAGTATCGTTAGCTTTCGTTCGCGCGTTCGTTTTGTAGTGTTCACTCCGTACACGTCATTAATGTTGTGAGCCTTTTGTGCGACGAAACCTTTGTTTGTCATCACGGCCTGCGGAAAAAGACGCCTAGAGCATACCTATCTTTTTTCTTTATTGCCTTTGTAGGTAGACGAAAGCATACAGCCCACATGATGATAAGTGGTTACCGTCGCTCATGGACGTCAGCAATGCCAGGAGCAGAGCCAAGCCACTGCCTATCAAGAAGTACTCTCCGCAAGCCTCGTTTGAAGAAGGACTTGTCATAGCGCTCGGGAAACACCGTGGAGGGGAGCTCATTCCATAGCCGGATGATACGTGGCAAAAAAGACCTCTGGAAAAGCACTGTGGATGACCGCAGTGGCTCCAAGTAGTATGGATGAACTTCTACTCCGAAGGCGGGCGGTGCGATGGTAAAAACGAGATGTCGGTATCATCTCGAACAATTCCTTAGAGCATTTTTTGTAAATAAAATTCATTTGAATTAAGAATTTATTGCTAGCCATATGTAAATTACTTTTCAAAAGGACAATCTTGTAAAACGACAATTTCCTAGGTTAGGAGATCTATTAAATCTGATCATAATTTTTTTTCATTAAAATATAAAATGAAAAATATACGAAATTATTCGAACACATAAGATTTTATTTCCTTGAAGACATTCCAATTACAACTTAGAATTACATTCCAAAGCCCAGCAGTGGACGTCTATGGGATGATAGAATATAAAAACGTTATTAAATAGAAATATAATCCTAAAAGTGGTTGTACAGATAACTACAGCATTTTATTTATTTATTACAACTTAAGGAACTATGAATTTATACGCATGCCTATTTACCACATTGAAAAAAAAAAACCTTTTCTATTCATTACAAAAACGACGTTGAGGGAAATATAAATCAAGATAGGCTTCTTTTCTCAGCTTCTTTTCGATATCTTCACTCTTCATGATCTTCAGAGCAGCTTTACAGCTATTGTGGGAATGTGCGAAGAAACAATCTCTGACAGACTGTTGAAAAAATCATCATTTTAAATGCTGTACTTTGGGGTTATAACCCTAAAAGATAATTGTAATCATGTCTATTAGTATCCGTTTCGTAGAGCAGGCTCATATGAGAAGTGCTTAAAACGCGTTTTGATAACGCGCGTTTACGACTATATAATATATGTTTTATACAAGCCGTACCTATGCTGACGGGTGTTTTTTAAAAGCGCGTGTTGAACGCTGCGTTAACCCATGACTGATGTCAGCGTGGATCGACGCGCGTTTTGAGAACATCGCTGGAAACGGAAACTTTTAATACCATATTGTGGCGGGTAGTCATCATACAACGCAAAATATTTGACAGATGCCTGAATCTCGCTTACGACATTTTCAAGATAAGCTTGCATAAATAATAATACAGACAAGTTCCGAACAACAACATTAGGACCGTCGGTCTCCCGAGCAATATCACCCGCTCGGTGGAAAATCTTGCCTTTGTCGTATACCTACAATAGATTAAATATAAAATCGACCAGCGGCATGGAACATGACAAGTATCATTTATAGATATTTCAAGATAAGACTGAGTTTCTCGCCGGATCTACTCAGTGGGTCGCGTTTCCAATCCGGTGATAGACTCTGCGAAGCACTTCTCCTGCTAGAGCCAGTGTTAGCAACACCTCCTGGTTTGAGAGAGCTCACCTTCACGCCAGAGTAACGGTGATATAGCCTCTCAAGGCTATAAGGCATAGGTAGGGAGGAAAAAAACTTGATGAATTCGGAAAGGCCTTCAACGCCTGACACGCTAGCACCCTGTGAACACTATACGAAAACTTTGCGCGCGTTCAACGCTGGTCACGTGAACCTGCTCATATACTTTATTTTAATCTAAAGTACCTCGCATTAAACTACCTTAAATTCTGCCAGCTTAGCGCCTTGAAACTTTGCTAGGCAATGCCTGAACAGTCTCGCGTAATGTTTTCGACAGAGAAATATGCGATTCTCGTACTGCCAATAGTCGCCTTGCGCTGAGCAGGAACAGCCGCAAAACCCGCAGGCATCCAAATTATACGGCACACATTTGATCTGCACAAATTAAAATTACGTTAAATACGGAAGATGGGGCAGAAAGATACTCGAGTGGAGACCACGTACTGGCAAACGCAGTGTGGGACGGCCACCTACCAGATGGACCGACGACCTGGTGAAAATTGCTGGGTCACGTTGGATGCAGGTGGCAACGGACCGGCCACACTGGACATCAGTTGGAGAGGCCTATGTTCAGCAGTGGACAGGCTGAGATGATGATGATGATGATGACTTTTTGTACCTGTACTGTTGAAACTGAGACCTCACATCTCGTATCTCGAGGTGCGTGGCAGCATTTATGTTGCAGATCTATAGGCGTAGATGTATTTTTACTGGTGGTAGGACCTCAGAGTCCGGACGGGTAGGTACCACCACCCTGCCTGTTTCTGCCGTGAAGCAGTAATGCGTTTTGGTTTGAAGGGTGGAGCAGCCGTCGTAACCACGGAATAGATAAATAAGGTTGGAATGGTAACGTAGGCGGGGCAAGCGTGCCACAGTTATGATTGTACAAACATAACTCGACCGATTCTTTCATTCACCGCGTTTAGTGCGCTTCGGACTACTTTGGCGAACAGATCTCCGCTTTATAGTGCCGTGTTGTGCAATTATAACTTGTAAAACAAAAAATCAGAACTCAAGTATAGAGCGAGGAGGTATATATTTCGATCGGTAAGTCGAAATTACCATTTAATTACAATATTATTTGTCTAAAACATAAAAATATACTGAGCATTATGAAATTCCAAACATTAACAATATTATTGCAGCAAGTTATAAATAGCATACATTGCGCGATTTGTACTCGCCCAATGAACGCAATGACTAAGTCAGCTTCCAATGTACTACATGCATTGCGTTCTCTACACTTCAATCTTTGAAATTTCGGCCTTTGCCCTGATTGGCCGTGGTGCAGTTTGTCGATAGTGAGGTGACCATGTGGTGAAATAAAATCATCGACAGAATTCTCGACTATATTTACATTTGACATGGATAATTTTTGCTTTATTTTATATTTAATTAATGATACCTAGTATATTCTTAGTGAGACGTATTTTGAGTAAAATAAATATGTATTATTATCATTGAATTAAAGTGAAGGTATAATATAAAGGGACATGTCATTTACGGGTATTTACTATATTGTCTAAGACGTATTAAAATCTAAGTAAAATGCTATTTGACTTATGCAGTAAATTAAAAATTTTAGGTTTCCTAAAGAACCTAACGCCAGGGAACAATGGATTGACGTGACAGGAGGAAACTGGAGACAAAGACGAGTAATATTTGCTCTAAACATTTTACTGAAAATGTTTTTACCATAAAAAAAATCAGAATACACTTAGTTTTGAAAAATTCATTCGCAATTAATAGCAAGCGCCAACTTTTTAACAAATACGTTTTATTCCAGCGACAGTGACTATTTGTAATTAATAAAAGTAAAATAGTTTTTTTTTTTTCAATATTTATTTCATGTTTCATTTTCTCCATTCATTCATAAGATAATTTATCGATAAAGAATATCGATTTTATCAAGCACTAGCGTGTAAGAACATTTTTATTGCCTTTTTGCGTGTGTGAGTGTGTATGCCTACGGGTGTTTTGTGCTAGTGTGCGAACGAATATCTGTCCTGAGATTTATGTGTGGGTGTTTTTGTTGTGTGCGAAATACTTGTAATCACAGTGTGTGTATGTGTAGAAATTAAAATAGTGGGGATGAAGCGGCGACACTGGTTCTAATACAAAATTAGAGCAAAGGCCTTTCCAACCTTATTTATCTGTGGCGGGTAGCCATCATACAACGCAAGATAATTGACAGATGCCTGAATCTCGCTTACGACATTTTCAAGATAAAGCGCATATATACAAGTTCCGAACAACAACATTTGGACCGTCGGTCTACCGAGCAATATCACCCGCTCGGTGGAAGATCTTCCCTTTGTCGTATATATCCCCAAACTGGTGACCCCGACGTGATCTGAACACGCAACCTTCTGATTCATCATCAGCGCATCAAAAAAATACTTCGGCTACCACAATCCCCGCATTCTCGCAGATAAAAGCAAGTCATCGACAGTCGTCCCGCAGCAAGCCAGCATCGCAGCCTCAACAGGACCATCGCAGCCGACTCACCGCGCTTCCTGGCCCTACGGCACGCACCTAGACTGCCTCATCGCGCAGCATTCAAGCTCAGTCTCGACTCACCGCAGACTTCGAGCAGCACTGGCGACAATCACGCAGCATTCAAGCTCAGTTTCGACTCACCGCAAACTTCGAGCAGCACTGGCACTTGCAAGCTAATCTCAGCACGGACAACGATAACTAAATATGACACGACCTCCAGTCTCGGAGGGGAGTGATGTGGCGGGTAGCCATCATACAACGCAAGATAATTGACAGATGCCTGAATCTCGCTTACGACATTTTCAAGATAAAGCGCATATATACAAGTTCCGAACAACAACATTCGGACCGTCGGTCTACCGAGCAATATCACCCGCTCGGTGGAAGATCTTCCCTTTGTCATATATTCCTACAACTGGTGACCCCGACGTGATGTGAACACGCAACCTTCTGATTCATCATCAGCGCATCAAGAACTTCGGCTACCACAATCCCCGCATTCTCGCAGATAAAAGCAAGTCATCGACAGTCGTCCCGCAGCAAGCCAGCATCGCAGCCTCAACAGGACCATCGCAGCCGACTCACCGCGCTTCCTGGCCCTACGGCACGCACCTAGACTGCCTCATCGCGCAGCATTCAAGCTCAGTCTCGACTCACCGCAGACTTCGAGCAGCACTGGCGACAATCACGCAGCATTCAAGCTCAGTTTCGACTCACCGCAAACTTCGAGCAGCACTGGCACTTGCAAGCTAATCTCAGCACGGACAACGATAACTAAATATGACACGACCTCCAGTCTCGGAGGGGAGTGATGTGGCGGGTAGCCATCATACAACGCAAGATAATTGACAGATGCCTGAATCTCGCTTACGACATTTTCAAGATAAAGCGCATATATACAAGTTCCGAACAACAACATTTGGACCGTCGGTCTACCGAGCAATATCACCCGCTCGGTGGAAGATCTTCCCTTTGTCGTATATATCCCCAAATATCTATTCCGTGGTCGTAACTATACTGAGACCTTAGAACTCAGCTGTCAAGGTGGGTGACGGTATTTACGTTGTAAATGTCTATGGATTCCGGTAACCACTTAAGGTGGTGGCCCAGGTGGGCTCTGAGCTCGTCCACCCATCCAAGCAATAAAAAAAGGTAGAGGTCCTTGTCCCTTGATGGGCTTTGTAATTGACAGCAAAACCGCTCCTCCTCGGCTGCTATTATGGTTACTATTGTAATTTATTGAGCTTAAATCAAGTAATGTAAGCTTATCGAGCTCCTTGAGCAAGGCAGGGCTGATTGAACTCAAGGGAGAATTTATTAATTTATTTTTGATTGTCGAATTACCGAAACTCACAAAGCAGAATGCAATGCATATAATATACTAAAGCATCAATCTAAAAATCTTCATATATTTAGTGAAGCGACTTACTTGAACAGCACATTTCAGAACTTTCTTTCCTGAAAAACTGTAAGCGAACTTCATTTGACGCTTCCTGTATTCAGGACAGTAGTCACAGGGCCTGTTAGATTATAATTACACTATTTTAAACACAGGCAGTTGTCACAAAAAAATAAAAATATATAGTTATTTTTAAAATTGAGCCTAAAATAACTAATTTTAAATAGGATTTTATTTTTTTATACATGTCATACATACGTATATGTACATACTATTTTATGTTCTCTTTGTCAAGCTTGATTGTGACGAAATGATGAAAAAAATGTTTCCTAATCCGGCTATTTTTCAGCAATACAAGAAAAAATGGCCATAATAAAACAAAAGCGCAAATGTGTTCATTTATATGCAATATTAATTTGAAACTTCAGATATCAATCACCCCTAAAGTCGAATATCGCAAACCGGGCGAACACTTAACACACATACATAATTCGGAAATACCAACTATACTTATTTGTCAAACTTTTTTGACAGCTCAAATTAGTTAACTCAACAGAAAACTACCTTTTATCTTCTTAAATTACAAAATATGTAATTCGTTGCTTATTTAAGTTGGGTGGGCCTTATATGCCAGTACTTTACATTTACAGTAATTTACACATTTCGTATGTAAATTAAAAAACATTACTCACTTATATACGTTTTTTATATATTCGTTAATATTTTACGATTTTGAAAATCTACCTTCATTTTAGGTATTAAAACTATCTCTATATACAATAAAATAAATGTATAAAAATGAATTGCTGTTCAACGAACAGCAATTCATCAAGACTAACAGTCTCGCTAAAACTCGAGAACGGCTGGACCGATTTGGATAATTTTGGTCTTGAATTATTTGTCGAAGTCCAGAGAAGGTTTAAAAAGTAGATAAATACGAAACTACTTACAATTAAATAAAAATAACAATTTTGTTTTTACTTTGATGTGTCCCCCGTCGGACGGATTCCTTTTGTTTATTTTATACAAAAGTTTAGGACTTTTATTTATCGATTGAGGCGCTACGAAGTCTGCCGGGTCAGCTAGTTAACTAATAAAAAAGGTATAAACGATTTTAATGAATTAATCATACGCTGGACATGAAGTCGTTTTAAATATTCCCTTTCGTTTCGAAGTTGAGTTGAACGGAGCACAATTCTGTTCAGCTGGTTTCTCAGGTGGAACTTCACGAGGAGGCGGCTGGTACTCATGTTTCGTTTTCCATCGCGGCACTTTCGATCCGAGACCATTCTTGCTGTAAATCTACAAACAGACATATTGAGCAAATAAACTAACGTGCTTTAGGTACATATAACAAACGATGAAGGACGAATGAAAGATGGAAGATATCTATTACGATCTTCTCTTAATGTCAATATACTTATACATTAGAAATAGATTCTACCTTTATTTACTTATTTTTTATGCCTAAATGGTTGGACGAGCTCACAGCCCACCTGGTATTAAGTGGTTACTGGAGCCCATAGACATCTACAACGTAAATACGCCACCCACCCTGAGATATAAGTTCTAAGGTCTCAGTATAGTTACAACGGCTGCCCCACCCTTCAAGCCGAAAGGTATTACCGCTTCACGGCAGAAATAGGCAGGGTGGTGGTACCTACCCGTGCGGACTCACAAGAGGTCCTACCACCAGTAAATTCTGCTGTTTAAATATTATTTTTTCAACAACCTTCATTAGATATCTTCTACACGACAGAGGTTATTTTCGAGTAATTGAGATGAAGATTTGCAATTTTACTTGTCGCCGCCATAGTTTTAAAATCGTTCAAATTTCAGTTCGAATTTCATACAATAATTTCACTTCGTCAGCGTCGTCTTTGTCAAAGTAATATGACAATCTACTGTGCTCATATAACTAGTCAGGTCATAAGTATTGTCACACAGTAAAAACTTTTCTGTTAGAATGCTGGCCACAAAAAAGTTTATTGAATTCGATTTTCGAATTGTTCATGAAAATAAAAATGTATACTTTTAGAATTTTACTCATTTTTAAATATGGAGTGGACGCTTAAAGAAGACCGTGTTGCAGTTATTGCGTTGCATCGTTGCGGTTACGCGCCATTTCAAATTTTTAACATACTGAAAATTTTGAATATAACCAAAAGATTCGTTTATCGTACCATCAAACGATACAATGAAGACTCTAGTGTAGATGACAGGTCAAGAAATGGTCGCCCTCGGTCTGTTAGGACTCCAGCAGTGATAAAAGCTGTGAAGGCGCGAATTCAAAGAAATCCCAAACGTAAGCAGAAACTGTTGGCCCTTCAGATGGGGTTAAGCAGAACCACGGTGAAAAGGGTGTTAAATGAAGACTTAGGGCTTCGGGCATATCGAAGAAAAACAGGACATCGTTTGAATGCTCGTCTAATGGACCTGAGACTGAAGAGATGCCGCGCTTTGTTGAAGCGGTACGCGGGAAAAAAATATCGGGAAATTCTTTTTTCGGATGAAAAAATTTTTACCGTAGAAGAGAGCTACAACAAACAAAATGATAAGGTGTACGCACACAGTAGTGAAGAAGCGAGCAACCGTATTCCGCGTGTCCAACGAGGTCATTTTCCATCCTCGCTCATGGTATGGTTGGGAGTTTCTTATTGGGGCTTAACAGAGGTACATTTTTGTGAGAAAGGTGTAAAAACGAATGCAGTTGTGTATCAAAATACAGTCCTGACGAACCTTGTGGAACCTGTTTCTCATACCATGTTCAATAACAGGCACTGGGTATTCCAACAAGATTCGGCGCCAGCTCATAGAGCGAAGAGCACACAAGACTGGCTGGCGGCGCGTGAAATCGACTTCATCCGGCACGAAGACTGGCCCTCCTCCAGTCCAGATTTGAATCCGTTAGATTACAAGATATGGCAACACTTGGAGGAAAAGGCGTGCTCAAAGCCTCATCCCAATTTGGAGTCACTCAAGACATCCTTGATTAAGGCAGCCGCCGATATTGACATGGACCTCGTTCGTGCTGCGATAGACGACTGGCCGCGCAGATTGAAGGCCTGTATTCAAAATCACGGAGGTCATTTTGAATAAACTTTAGTGTCATAAGAATCTATGTTTTGTTAAGTTCATTTTGGTATATGAATGGTTACATAATGAATAAACTTGTTTCAATTATTTTACATTAAACATGTGACAGAATTTATGACCTAACTAGGTACTGAATCATATTTACAAACCCTATTCTCAACATCGTAGAAAGCGTCACGTTTGATATCGTAACTTCCTGGACCCAGATTGGGTCTCACTTCAGCAACGTTTCTCTTCATAAAAGAACTGACGCACGGTCCTTTTATTGGCAACACATCCCTGGCCAGGCCGGTCCCAAAACATATTCTCGGCGGAAGCTTCTTCATCACGACGTACTCAAAATCTATGTCACAAAATGATAATTATAAATATTTCTTTTTTTTATTTACGCTGCGTTAACCATCAGGGAATATAAATTAAAAAATAAAACAAAAGTGATTATTATTTGCTTTCAATTTCAGTTTGATGTTTAGTTTCCCCTGTCTACGTCTACGCAAAAAAAATTATGTCTACTGTCAATGACCAGATCCAGTGGTAGAAGTATTCACGAAGTAGCTGCTCTTGATCTCCATCAAGCCTTTCATCCATATAAGGATATATTGGGATAGGTATGTATTTATGCTACAAAATATTAATGATACTTTCGACAAAGAAAAAACGCTGTAAACGCTGTAGAGAAATAAGTATCTTTAAATTAGTACATATGCAATAGGCACTCGTTCACAAATAGGTATATGTAGATATCATAATATACTAAACTAAAAATACATGAAAAGATACAAAAAAGATCATGGTTCACGGTTAACCAAAACTTGAAATAAAATAAAAATTAGATTAAAATTTATTTAGCATTGAAATAATAGCGATCAACGCAACGCATGGCGTCTTCTTGGAAAAATTTGGAGGATTTTATTACCGGTCCATGCTCACAACAATGTGTACCTTCGGGTTTTTTGACGAATAAAAGAGTCGTCTAATCAGTATCACATTGATTTTAAGACGAATTCAAAATTAGAGGTATACGTTAGTAAAACCACAGACTAAAATAATTACCGCCATAAAACGCCTCGTGCATATTATTCGGAGCCAAATAAAGACGCGCGTATGGCCGCTGCATGTTTGTCGAATACAACTGGATTATATTAGCCGTGAGCTTTCGTGATGGTCTCAATAAAAAATATGACGAATACGACATTACGTTTTATTGGGTCACGCTTGGAAAAATGGGGTGTGCCTGAGATTTTACGGTTGGCTCCGGATAACGTGTTGAAACTCGAGAATGTGTAAAGCGTACATTTATCAGAATATAATACATATTATTAATTAAATACCGTACACATAATTTCCCGAATGTGCAATACGAAGTGACCTTCATGCAACCTGTTTTGGCGTCCCTAATGAAGCCAGCTTTTTTTTTTTTTTTTTGCCTACCTAAGCTGATGATAGCCTTGAGAGGCTATATCAGCGTAACCTTAACTTTTGTAGGTGAGCTCACGGGGCTCAAACCTGACGACGTTGCTAATACGAACCCTAGCAAGAGCCGTGCTTCGCAGAATCTACCACCGGATCGGAAACGCGACCCACTGAGAAGATCCGGCGAGAAACTCAGTGGGCTGTGTCTGAGAGTTAATTTACTCGTCGAGCCCTTCGTCGCAAGCGACGGGTTCGACGAGAACGGTGACCGGTGCTTGAAGTACCTAGAAGCACTGTTAGTGGATCGGGAGGATCCGAGATGACGTGTTTTGGGCGACGTCGACTGCTTTCCATTCTGTCCGCAGGATCGGGAATGTAGTTACCGGCGGCCACGATGAGAGGGTTCTCGTGTTGTGCCGCTTTATCGAAGTGGCGCATCGACGCCGACTGCATATACTTACTGGTGGACTCTAAGTCCAGGTCGTCGTGGAGGTCGACGTTCCTGACGAACCACGGGGCTCCGACGGCTATCCTGCAAAAACGGGATTGAATAATTTGAAAGGATTTTAAGTGTATGCGGGCCGCGTGAGCGAACACTACACTTGCATAGGTCATGACGGGGCGTATGCAAGTTTTGTAGAGTGTCACCTTATTTCTAAGGGACATTTTACTTCGCCTACATATCATCGGGTAGAGACGTCCTAGAATGAAGGCGGCACGGTCGCGTACCGTCTTGATGTGGGGGCGGAATGTCATCCTACTGTCGAGGGTGACGCCTAAATATTTGACCTTCGGGGCCCACGGTATGGGCTGGTCGAACATCGTGATTGGGCGAACGGCGGGGGCGGGGGTATTGACGCGCCTAGTCGGGAGGGGGATGCTCAGCGTGGTGTTCGGAGGGCGACCCCTTTTGAAGAGCACCGCTGTGCTTTTCGTGGGGTTGATGTCGATGCGCCACTTCCGGAACCACTGTCCCATGGTGGTAGCTGCGGTCTGAAGTCGTCGATGAAGCAACGCCTTCTTCCTACACGAGTAGTAGATGGCGGTGTCATCGGCGAAGAGCGTCAGATGGGTCTCCGGAGACCGGGGTATATCATTGATATACAAACTAAATAGTAACGGGGAGAGGGCGGAGCCTTGCGGGACTCCGGCTGTGACGTAGGAAGCCAGCCTTGTTCAACTTGAAGTTTTTTTTACCATGCTTTATTAGCTTGGTACAAATGTATTTGTTTGGTATTTTTAAGTGAATCTTTGAATGTCATTTTCACCAACCTTAAGCCACTGATGAACTTGACGATTTACACACGTAATAATGAATTCAATGATCCATGACACTACAATTTTACGATCCTGACCGGAATTAACAGGACAGAAAAACCAAAATCAGATCGGCTTGCTATGTACGCCTGTTTTTCATTATTAATTTAACACTTCATTATTTTGGCGGTTTTTTGGTCGTCAACGTACCTACATTATCTACTTTAGCAACTACAGCCAATTAATTACAACAAACTTCTATGTTTTTTATTTACTTTTTTTACAAATTTAAGTGAATTATTAAAAGAAATGCTTTATACGGAAAAGCTATTTAATCCGTACACAACAAAACGAATTATTATTATTATATAATCGGTTGAATTATTTACACATAGTTTAGATTACAATTTATGGAGAAATATTTACATTCTTATAACTTTATGGCCAACATAGTATTGTAGCCGACGAAAGACATTCGGTATCATGAAATTGTGGTTTATGACATGAAAATGCATGACAAAAAAACGAAGGTCGGCTCAAATAAATTGGCTAAGCAATGTAGATACCCTACAGCTGAACTTAAAAAGCTTACTTTATGCTAAACTAGTAAACTAAAATAAAGACTTTTTTTAACATTTAGATGTCCCATATTTTTTTTTTTTTTTTTTTTTTTTTTTTTTTTTNGTCGGCAGATGTACCACGAACACAGAAACAACAAAAGGAAACAAAACAAATAAAAACTTCCAGAAAGAGCACTTAGTCGGCAGATGTACCACAAACACAGGCCGCGCGAACAATGGCCGGGCTAACAAAAGCCGGGCGAACAAAGACCGGGCGATCGAGTGGACGATGAGCACGTCCGCACGTGACGGGTGCCTCTATCGGAATCCGTCCCATATTCTGCACCTGTTCAACATACATACATTTTTCAATTTTCGTATTTTGCATTGATTTGCAACAATTCATAGATTTTTTATTAATACCATTTTTTTTTATTTACTAGTTGTTGACAAGCTTCAGTTTTATGAATTAAAAAAAGTGTCAATGACTAAAGAATAAAGAAAAAATAAAATTTAGTAGATAACAAAATAATTAGGTAATCTAAGTCTTGAGGTGTCGGTTATTATGGACGAATTAGCAAAGGTTAGATTTCGTAGGCGGTCCAAGATTTGAATCTAGTTGTAGATATCTTGGAAGTAAGTTATAGTAATCAGAGTTAATCCTCTAGTCATGTAAAAAGATTAGGTACCTGTTGTGATATCCCAGGTCATTTAAGTATTTAGGTATCGATCGCCCTTTATGTAAAGCTTTATATATAGTAAATAATCGATTGCGAAATGTCTTCTTTTTCAATAAATAAATTTTAGAAACTATTAATGCCATGCATAATAGCTACATCATAGAATCGCTCATAGTAAGCATGATGTGATGTTGAAAAAAAAAAGGTACTTTATACGTTTAAGAAAATAATTGTTTATTGCGAATACTGACTGTATGCAAATAAATGTCATGAATTAATAAATTTTGACAGATTAATTTCGGGAAGAAATAGTTTTCGCCGGAAAGGTTTTTTTACCAAAGTTATTTATTGTATTGTTATTAGACCTGGATGCGTGTGCAAATTTTCAAGGTAATCGGATATATTTGTGTTGAAAGATTTCATAACATAAATACAAGTCTAATCAGAAAACTAATCGTCCTAACGTGGCTGCCGCTAATTACATTAGGCCAGGTCCCCCGGATCCACTCTCGGTGCTTTTATGGCCTTTTTTTCCTACCTAAGCTGAAAGCCTTGAGAGGCTATTTCAGCGTAACCTTAACTAGTAGGTGAGCTCAAACCTGACGACGTTGCTAACACGCACCCTAGCGAGAACCGTGCTTCGCAGAATCTACCACAGGATCGGAAACGCGACCCACTGAGAAAATCCGGCAAGAAACTCTGTGGGCTGTGTCTGAGGGTTAATTTACTCATTGAGCTCTTCGTCGCAAGCGACGGGTTCGACAAGAACGATGGCCGGTGCTTGAGATACCTAAAAGCACCATTAATAGATCGGGAGGATCCGAAATTACGTGCTTGGGGCAACGTCGACTGCTTTTTATTCTGTCCGCAGGATGCCCTTCAAGAACCGGTCACCGCCTGCCTGCGTTGAAGTCGTCGATTACGACGATTACAACAAATTTTCTCGTCGGATATTCTTAGTCGGTTGCGTTTCCGATGCGACGGAAGATTTTGCGAAGCACTGCTCGTGCTAGTGTTAACAAATTCACTCAGGTTGGACCCGCGAACTCATCTACCCATCCGCGCGTATCTGGAATAGCCCCTTAGATTACCAGCGAATAGGTAGGACAATAAAGAAAAAAAACTAATCTAACTAAGTATAGTTTTTGGAATTTTATGAGAACCCAATTATTGTATTTATTATCCATGATACCTACTATGCTAATCTACGATAATGGATTTACGATTTACAAAAGTCACGAGAATGTTTCGTTTTGTATACTTTGGAAACTTACAATGCGTTTCGATCACGAACGAAGTTTGCTTTTAAATTGTGTATTCTCTAGATATGCGGAACGAGCGAAATATCCAGGTAATATAAACCACTAGCTGTACCCGTCCGCTTCGCTGGGCATTTAAAATTAACATTATTATTTCTCACCCCCACAAAGATTCTCATCATTAACGCCCCCGCGACTGTTGTAGTGAGTCCAACACTCATAAATATTGGCCTATCCATTAAGTACATGTATTTTCTACATTGATACCAAGTTTCAAGTCAATCGGATACACGGTTCAGTACTTATAACGGAACATCCGTAAAAACCGCTATAGATTTATATATTGGTATCGATTAGAACTAAATTAAACGATGAATGAGGATATATCGTGCGTGTGAAAAGATTTACTGAACGCCCGAAGAAGTAAATATTTGTGGCCTGTAATGACGCGATGGGTGTGCCGACGATGGTATTTTTTTTACTGCCTTAAATACTTTAACGAGCCCTTACTAGCGGAGCCCACAGATATTAGCACACCCCCGATTACCCTTTTCGGCCAATTCATACCCTGAGCTACGAAGGTCAAGCACCTGGGTGTTAACCTGGATGCATTCATGACATTCCGCCCACATATAAAATCAATACGCGACCGTGCCGCGCTTATTCTTGGCAGACTCTACCCCATGATCTGAAAGCGGAGTAAAATATCTCTTCGGAACAAGGTGACACTTTACAAAACTTGCATAAGGCCCGTCATGACTTACGCAAGTGTGGTGCTTGCTCACGCGGCCCGCACTCATATATACACCCTCCAATCCCCATAATCTCGTTTTTACAAGTTAGCCGTCGGAGCTCCGTGATTCATGAGAAACGTCGACTTACACGACGATCTGGGCCTCGAATCAATCCGGAAATACATGAAGTCAGCGTCGGAACAGTACTTCGATAAAACTATGAGTCGTGATACTCCCTGAATCCTGATCACGCAGGAGCCAGTTGCCGTCCGTAGACTCCTTCAGCTCTAACACTAGGAGCCGGCTTAGGCACCCCGGTAACCATACTCGTCGAATTCGGCAAGGGGTTCTTCGTGCAACCTAACCCACGCATCAGTCCGCTGAGTTTCTTGCTGGATTCGACAATTATTACTATCCTGCTTACGGTTTCAAGGTTACGACAAACGATATGTAATTAGAATTTTGACCGCATGTCTCAAGGTTGACTGCATTGACATTTTGATGTCTATGGACTCGAGTAGCCGCTTAACACCAGGTAATTCTTGGTACAATCTATCATCAGTCTAAAAAAATCATCGTCTTTCTTATTAAACCCATAAGTTTGTAGTGCTTCGACATTAAATTTACAGCCAAGGCTATAGCCAAAGATATTATTGACTATCTGAGTTGTGTTGTTGTAACGTAAACATTAATATAAAATATCTGAAAAATGAATTGGTGGAATAAATTTCCTTTCATCACCACTGCGCTTTTTTTTTTTTTTTATTGCTTAGATGGGTGGACGAGCTCACAGCCCATCTGGTGTTGAGTGGTTACTGGAGCCCATAGACATCTACAATGTAAATACGCCACCCACCTTGAGATATAAGTTCTAAGGTCTCAGTATAGTTACAACCGCTGCCCCACCCTTCAAACCGAAACGCATTACTGCTTCACAGCAGAAATAGGCGGGGTGGTGGTACCTACCCGTGCGGACTCACAAGAGGTCCTACCACCAGTGATAAGCGCTTGTTGAAGTCCTGTTTTTCAGAGAAGACTACTCACATGCCGTAAGATTTATAACTACCGTACCTACCAACTTTGGGCACAGAACCAGAACTTCTCATTCTCAAATATATTAAGTGTATAATCTATGACCAGAACACTGACTACTGTCAAACTTTGAACAAGTCATCTGTCAAATCGAGTAAAACAGCTCAACAGAAAAGATTGAATGGATCGGCTTTAAAAGCAAAGTTTGTTTTGCTCTAAGTTATGCACGTGAAATTGGTCGTGTTGTGAAACAGACAGGAAAGCCTATATATCCCACACTGATTCGTAAGGTGAAGTTAAGGTAATGCATACGAAGTATCAAATTACTTTGTGAAGTAATTTTTGTGCTCGATATTATGTCATAGCTGCTAATAGATCATTGATGAGTTAAAGCAATTTCGGTAATACTATTTAAATAGAACAATGTCAAAACCGAAACGAATCCTTGAATGTTATTGCTATAAATATTTATAAGATTTACATTATCATTATCTATCACATGGTATGAAATTAAAAACGTCTCATAAAAGTCTCTTATTTTTTATTGAAGATGAATATGAGAATTAATATAGATTTCAGATTAACGTACATAAATATGTTGATTACAAATCAACATATTCACAGTACTGCTAAGCTTTTGACAATTTTAAATTTGAGTAGGTAAAAAAGAAAATCTATATTTTTTTCATGTTGTACTTGTCATATAAATATATCTCTATATTCTATTAAGTGAGACAAAGCTATTTCCACAATAACAATAAAATAATAAAATGAAAAGACATAAAAATTAATTTCAGAAAAAAAATATGTCATTGAACACAAAATTAGCTTTGCCTATTGCTTTGGGCTTGTCCCTAGTGACTGTAACAGCATTTGTGGCCTACTACGTCCTCAAAAAAGATGAAGAAGAAAACGATAACAAGACAGTCAAGATTACTAAAATAAATACAATTGAAATTCATGTTCCTAAAAGTATTGTTCCAGCTCTGATTGGTAAGAAACTTTAATAAACATGTATTAGACTATTTATAGTAAAATATCCTGAAGTTTATTTCAAATGTCCTGAAGTTTATATTCACTAATCATTATTTATTTCTTGTTTATTTTGAAATATGAACTTTCATAAATATTAAATGCAAATTGTATTTTTAATTTCATTAGCCCATAGCTCATGGTGTACACCAATGAGAAATAACTAAAGTACTTAGACATTACAAAACCAATGCTAGCCATCTTATCATTTCAAACTTAAATTAAACAATTAAAGGTTTTACCTTTTAAACAACCTACAATTAAGTAGTAACCGAGTTTAAGTCAACCATAATAAATAAATATTCTGAGACTCTTTATCTTAAAAAACATGACCTGGAAGGATCTAGAATAAATCCTTGTTTTAATTATTTATGGATGAGCCAAGTTGTGTGACAATTAAAATTAAATTCAAGGACGTGTTTCTATATACTTATCAAACATAATACTTACCTTATTAAGTAAATTTGTCATATTATTCAATTAAGATAAAATGACAAGGAATGGTCAATGAAAATGACACTTTGCATTAATTGACCTGGTGCATTATTCGTCACATACAATTGTAAACGTTTATATTCAATCAATGGGACTCATTTTTTGTGGTGCTGTGCTGTGCTTAGTTGGGTGGACGAGCTCACCGCCTTGTTAAGTGGTTACTAGAGCTCATAAACATCTACAATGTAAATGCTCCAAGGGTGGAGTGGTTTGAAGGGTCAAACTGTAACGCATTGCTGCTTCACGGCAGAAATAGGCAGGGTGGTAGTACCTACCCTTGCGGACTCACAAGGGGTTCTACCACCAGTAAAAACAGTACTATACATAATTATAAATTTCCAACAGTAATATATAAAAATTCATTTTTTCTTATTAGGAATTTGCTATATCTTTATTGTACAGTATTAGGTCATAATGATGTCATTTTGTAAGCAACAGTAAAAAATATTTGAGATACATTCAATGACAACCTTGAATTCATACAGTGTGAAACCATTGAAATGTAAATATATTAAAAAAAATTACAAAATGGTTTTGAAATTGTTATGTATTGGAGATAGTGGTTCAGTTACAGTTCTCAAATTACATTGTAACATGAGACCTAATTGTTGCAAATTGATGGTGGCTTTCAAATATGTGGAGTCTATGGACTCTGGTTTAACTAGTCTGGTTTAACATGGGCTGTGTTCTCTTGAATCTAAATAAAAAACCAGCTAATGCAATGATTTGACATGTATAATTTACTGAACAGGTCTCAAGTCTTAAATAAGTTTTGATTAAATAGCAAGGAGCAACAACAACAAATAACCAATCATTGTAAAATTCAAAATTAAATTATTTTTTAGGTCGCAATGGCTCCAACATTAAGGACCTTCAGAAGAAATCTGGTGCGCAGATCCATTTCAAAAAGTTCACCGACCAGGACTATGACGTGTGTGTAGTCAGAGGACGAGCTGACACTACTCAGCTGGCTGAAACTTTAATACATGACTTTATCAAGCAACAGCCAACAATTATGTCAGAAAGCATTACTGTGCCAAGCTGGTCTTGTGGGAGAATAATTGGTAAGTTATAGAATGAATATTAATATTGTGATTTAGTTAGTCATTAATTCAGTGCCTGGATGGTGTGTTCTGGTTTAAAGAGTTGATATTAGTGATAGGAAGATTTGAGCCTTTAACATCATCTGGTAGTAGTCATGATGGTACCAGCGCTGTATTTATTTCGGTAACTGCTCAACACATGACCAATGAGATGGAAACTGTCAATAATTTGATGTTTTAGGATCTGGAGGTGAGAACGTCAATGATATTAGCCATCGCAGTGGCGCTCGCGTCAAGGTCGAAAGTCCTAAAAGTACAGATAAAGTTGCTGAGCATCTAGTGACATTCCGTGGTACCAAGGAACAGATTGAAGTCGCCAAGAAACTTGTCGAGAACTGCGTAAGTTTTTTTTTTTATTGCCCTTGTAGGCATACGAACATACGGCCCACCTGATGGTGAGTGGTTACAGTCGCCCATGGACTTCAGCAATGCCAGGGGCAGAGCCAAGCCGCTGCCTACCACTAAATACTCTCCACAAGCCTCGTTTGAAGAAGGATATGTCATAGCGCTCGGGAAACACCGTGGAGGGGAGCTCATTTCATAGCCGGATGGTACGTGGCAAAAAAAACCTCTGGAAACGCACTGTGAATGACCGCAGTGGCTCCAGGTAGTATTTGTTTTTAAATTGAACTTCTAATTAATAGTAGTTTAAAATGAACTAGCTATGCACAGCTTTATGCTTCATTAAAAGCTCAGTATGTGTGTGTTCCATTAAACGCTCAGTATTGTACCTATTTTTGAACAACTTCTCAGTATATCCAATAGCAAAGTTGATCATGTAATTGCATTGTAAATGGGCCAACCATAAAAACTCATGATACAGCGTAAATAGATTAAATTACTCAAACTCATAGACAGCCCACTGAGTTTCTCGCCGGACTTTCTCAGTGGGTAGCGATTCCGATCCGGTGGCAGATTCTGCAAAGCACTATTATTGCTAGGGCTAGTGTTAGCAAATTCTATCAGGTTGAGCCCGTGAGCTCACCTACTCGTCCGATCGTAGCTGGAATAGCCTCTTAGGGTACCAATGAACAGATAGGAAAAAAGGTTAAATAAAAAAATTGATACACGGATGAAAAGTTGGGAAGAAATTGTTTAAATTTTTTTTTTAAATCTTTCCCTTGTTTCCTTTTTCTCTCTCGACGGAATTAGGGCGTCAGGATAAGCACTTGAAACAATGGCACTTGAATTGAAATGTTTATCCAATAAAAAATACCATCCAGATATCTTTAGAGCGGTGTAGACGGGAGATAGAGCAGTCGAAGCGTCCGCCCCGGCACAGCTCGTCGCCCCCCTCCCCCTGCCCCTCGCCCGGCGACCGCGACGCGGACGCGGACGCACAAGGTGACGTCACGCACACGCGTGTCAAGTATAAACGGCCTGGTAAGATTTGCTAACTGCACGTTCGCTTGTGATGATATATTTGAACAATATTTACATGACTCAACACAATACGACGAAAACTGTATTTTGTTACTATTTCACCATTACAAGGTTGTTGTGGAGAAAATAAAAATAAAATAATGTAAGCGAGATTTAATTATTATTATTATTATATACTAATGTAGACGACGGGTGCGCTCATAGTCTTATTACTGTGAGCTAATACTATCATTACATCTTAGTTCGGTACTGCGTACTTAAGTATACCAGACTTTCAGAATAAAAGGACAGCGTCGTCTAAGACACTAAACATGACACTAATACTAAACGCGAACATAATTCCGCAGGGAAACCGGTATTCTGTCTTATCCTGTTTATCCACGAAATAATTACGTACAATTTATCCAGCGATAATCAGCGGAAGAATTCACCGGTTTTTTTGGATTCTGTCACGAAAGATAGGCGATATAAAAATGATAAATGTTGTCACGTAAAACAAAAGAATTTTAGAGACGTCATGGCCTAAACGATAAGATGACCGGTGTACTCTTATGGATCAATGCGACTGTGCCAGCATTCAAATCCCGCAGCTAGGGAGTATAATCTTATTTTTGTCGCGAAGCAAGTACATTCGATCACGATTTAGTAATACGACAGTACAATAGAAAGAAAAAAATGTGTGTAATTCACACGTGGTAGAAGTGAAACTTTAAAAAATGTTGACTTCAAGATAATGAGACGAATGTCAAATTTCGGAAAGAGGATAGTTGCAGGTTTTAGTAACGATCATAGTGATACAAAATTTGATAATTATTTTACATTTTATTCGTATATATTACATAGATTTATTCAGAATGTATTAAGTACGAATATTAGGTACGAGACAGAGCCCAAAGAGAACCACGAATCTAAGAAACACTGTATAATGCTTCCTATCTCTTTTCTTCTCCCAGGTTAAATATTATGAATCTGTCTCTTTTTACTGTCGCTTTTTCGTTTCATCGACTTTCAAATCACAACGATGCTAAAAAAGTTTTCACTTCAAACACTTGATTCGTTACAAATTTATAATTTCTTATTAAATATATATACGTATGTACACACTTCGTGAATATTTCACAATATGTCATTCAATATTGTTAGGATTTCTTTTTGCTTTTGAAATAAAATATTGAATTGTAATGAGATATACAACGACCTCGATCTTTCAAATGTTCAGTCTGGGTATTTCAAGGTTTGTTTGAATTATAAATTAGCGGATAATTGTAACTGAGTTAGTAAAATATAAATATAAACGATTTATTTTATTGACAATTGCAGTCGAAACAAGTCGAACCTAACACGTTTTGATGGTCGAACTATAATTGAACTTTAATCCGATAGCCAAACAGGATTACCCGCCAAGCCAATCTTGAAGATTTTCTGATAATTTCATCGAAATCGGTCTAGTCCTTTCTAAGTCTCGGCGTACATACTAACTTCTTATATACATCTTATTTATGTAGATAGATAAGTTTCGCTATTTAAACCAAATGTAAGTTGACACCGTTGAGTTTTAAGCTAAACGAGTCAAATGAAACAGTTTGAGTTAAGTGATCGTGTAAGGAGATGAACTCGCGCCTTCTGACGGTAGGATTAGGGGAAGAATTGTAGTTGAAAGTAATTGCAGGCGTGCCACGAATTCTTCTTGGTAATCAAAAATAATGAATATAAAATAATGATAAATGTTATTGAAAAATTGTTATTTTTTTATTGTTCAATTTTCATACAGGTATGCGCTTGATTTAAAAGAAACGGATAGTGTAGTAAACTGATGGAATACTTGGTTATAATTCGTTCAAACAATTCAATTCTAAAGGTGCCATATCTCAAATGTATCAAATAAATATTACGAAATATTATTAAATATATAACTGCTATGTCACCCTCCGGACCGGAGAATGTTACTGCCTCGTGGAATAGTTAGCTGGATCGTGGTACCAGTGCTCCTAATGGTATAAAAGTTTCTGATATACGCGCGTTGCATATTAAAAACATGCATAGAACGATTTAGGACGCCATTTTTATTAATAATCCTTTAATGCATTAGGTCAGTTATTCCTTTATATATAGTTTATATAGAGCCTGGAGATCAGTAATACAGGTCTTTGAACCTAGTACAGACTTCAGCTCTTTCAAAGGCTTACAAAATAAATTATAAGGTTAATTTCCATTTGTATTTGTACTATACCTTTAAGAGAGAAATAAATAAATTATTATTAATATATTAATATTAATATCTATACGGCGTAGTAATTAACTTGAACAGTTGAAAACACTTTGTAATAAAATGTTATGTTAAAGTCTTAATTACCGGATTTAAATATTTATGCCTTACGACAAAAGGGCTTTTCATCCTTATTTCAGTTTCCTAGTAAATCCGCAAATGCAAACTTTCAGATAGAAAGAACAACAAAAGTCAACAGTGAGTACAGACGACACACGTCCCATCTTTGTGTAAAGAAAAAAATACTATTTTATATAATGTGATTTTAGTTTGTTTTCGTGTGCACCATATATAACATAATCCCTTTTGGTTTTGTGATGGTAGAGCGTTTTCGTTTGTTTATGGTTTTTTTCTTTTTGTGTTGTCCCTTTTTATGTACGTAGTTTTGGTTTGGGATTAAATATGGGCATATATACGTTTTTGGTTTTATTATATGGTATTTTATTTGTTTTATTATATATTTTCGGGTATTATGAAAATGAATAATGCGTGTGCTGCATATGTTGTGGACTTAAAGGGAATTAATTGATTGTGGGGTTATGAATTATCTAGTGTAATAAATGTGTTTTTTTTTATTTTATTTTTTGGAAATTGTTACTTTCTAGCGTCATGTTTTTCTTTAAGTTGATATAGGCGCCCGTAATATGTTGATGTTGATGCAATACGACCATATTTCGAATAGTGATCACTTCTGCATACTTGGTAGGTACATGTCTTGAGAAATCCAGAAAACAATGCGTTATGTGACCTGCTAAGTCACAAGACGGACTCGTCGAGTGTCATCATTGGTCCAGAGAAATCATTCGTATTAAACACGAATATTAGTTTAATACAATCTTATGTTTTATTCGAAGAAAGTATTTCCTATTTTATCATATTACTTAAAAAAATGTATACCAAAATCTAGCCCAATGTGACAATAGCAAAATTACAATTTTTTTAATTAACAATCTAAATCTAACTTTGAAATTTATAACTTTTAAAAATAACAATTCAAGACATTAATCCTATAAATTAAGATATAAGTAATTCATTCTGCCTAATTCGGTACAGAGGTCACCTATTAGAATCTAAATGATTAATATCATATACGGGGTGTTCAATCAATGGTCAGAATTATTACCAATAATAACATATAACATGACAAATAAAATTAGAGAACCCAACTGCGATTTGCAAGAATTTTGTCGGTTTTCCTATGCTCTGGTGTAGCCTTGAGAATTAACACATTTTTCAATATACTTAATACAACTATGGTATAGCGATACGCTGCAAATTAAACAAACGTTCCGATTACAGTCGAAGTTCTAACTCTAAGTTTTTTACTGGTGGTAGGACCTCTTGTGAGTCCGCGCGGGTAGGTACCACCACCCTGCCTATTTGTGCCGTGAAACAGTAATGCGTTTCGGTTTGAAAGATGGGGCAGCCGTTGCAACTATAGTTGAGACCTTAGAACTTATATCTCAAGGTGGGTGGCGCATTTACGTTGTAGATGTCTATGGGCTCCAGTAACAACACCAGGTGGGCTGTGAGCTCGTCCACCCATCAAAGCAATAAATAAAAAAAACTCATTTAATAACCTCTCAATAATTACCGCATAAAGTCACGTTGAGTGTATAGGGTCCAAATGAATAAATAGCTGACTTGACCGAAACTAGCTCAGCGAAATAAAATATGCTATTGTGATATACAGAGACAACGGGACCCAGTATCGAAGTGTACGTGTCGGCGGTTTCATCTCCTTCCCGTTTCTGGGTGCAGTTCGTAGGGCCTCAGGTCGCTCAGCTTGACGACCTAGTCGCTCACATGACCGAGTATTACTCTAAGAAGGAGAACAGAGAAGCGCATACCGTAAGTACTGTGTTGATATCCCGGTGTTGGTACTATAATTCGATGTTGATACCAAAGTTGGGGATGTGATTTCGTGTTCAATTAAAACTCGTCGAACCAAATTGCAAAGTAGGGTGGTAGAACTAGTCGTCGTGGTCTAAATGATCGTAGTCGTCGTAGCCTAAAGGATAAGACGTCCGGTGCATTCGTGTCGAGCGATGCAACGGTGTTCGAATCCCGCAGGCGGGTACCAATTTTTCTAATTAAATACGTACTTACCAAATGTTCACGATTGATTTTCACGGTGTAGGAATAACATCGTGTGATAAATATCAAACCCGCAGAATAATAATTTGCGTAATTACTGGTGGTAGGACCTCTTGTGAGTCCGCACGGATAGGTACCACCACCCTGCCTGATTCTGCCCTGAAGCAGTAATGCGTTTCGGTTTGAAGGGCGGAGCAACCGTTGTAACTATACTGAGACCTTAGAACTTACATCTCAACGTGGGTGGCACATTTACGTTGTAGATGTCTATGGGCTCCAGTAACCACTTAACACCAGTTGGGCTGTGAGCTCGTCCACATATCTAATGTTTTAGCAAAAAATTTTTTAAACTGGCAACCCCTGTATAAGTGACATTTCCATATTGAAACCTTTGAAAATATGGGGCAATACCGTAAAATGGGGCGATTAGGGACAAATTCCAACTTTATGAGCAATTTTAAGGTAGTTGTTGATGTATATAATGCTAAATCAGGATCAAAATGATTGAGTCTTGGGGGCATCTTTGTTGTCTAATTTCAAATTATGCAACTAGCATTCCAGTTTAAGAAAAAAATGCAAAAATAGGTGTAATCCCTATTTACCCGAAAATTGCGGTTAATTGGGACGAAATGAGAAATTTGCTAGGGTTGGCACTACTTTTATTTTTATATATAGTTTTAATTTATTTATTTATTAAGTTGCACCAACAAAGTGATCATCAATAAAAAAAATTGAAAAACTGACAAAAGTACATGGCAGACATCACCTCAATTATAGGTGCAATCGACAGTGCTGATATTTCTATCTGGGTTAAGAGATTAGGTGTGTCGGTTATTCCATGGATTAATCAGATGAATACCCCCACTCTGAACAAATATTAAATATTTTATTATGTATTACTTAGACATTTTTGTCCACCTTGAGATTTCATTGATCTTGTTACATGTCTCTGCAAAATCGACTTACTTATATTAAATTGCTTATCTATTTCAACTAAAGACTTATTCCCAATTTCGCTTCGAATAAACCAGATTTTTACCAACAAATTTAAAAAATATTGTTTTAACTACATAGACAACCCTACAAACCTGTACCTATTTATACTTAGGTCGTTTCCATTTCACGTATTCTCATCCCAATTGATCCCTTTTTCGTTGTTATTTGTACCTAAGACGTCCCCAATATCCCCAAAAACAACAGATTTTTACATGTATTTTTATTTAATCAAATACATTAAAACCAATAACAACTGAGACTTACCTTTAATATATATGCTGGTTCAAACACTAAATAACGTTTATAAATCATAGTCGACTTCTATTATTATCAAATAAATAAAAGAGAGCAAAGTTTCTAGCACTAAAATAATTACCACCACAGGAAGTTAATTTGAAACGCGATTTTTCATAAGTTAGCAGGTATTATCATGCATTTTCAGAATTGTTTTGTGAACTTTCAACATTCTACTATTAAACTACAAAAAATGGAAGATTTTGCAACGAATATAAAACTTATATTGAGCGTCGAAAGATTTTCCCGGTTTTTTCCCGATTCGCCTCTCAATCCCTAATCGCCCCATTTTACCGGTACCGATTTGACAAACGTCGGAGATGTTGTCATTTTAAAAAAAAACGTTTGTGCAAGCAGGAACTTTTGAAGGAATGCTACATTTCGTGTTGTAGTTACGCCACGTGTCCGTTGGGCAAGTGGTGGCGGCGGTGTTCCGACACGACGGCCGCTGGTACCGGGCAAGGGTGCACGACATAAGGCCTAACGAGTTCGATTCATCGCAACAGGTATTAAATTTTACTTACCTGTTACCTATTACTATTAATACCTAGTATTTAATATTACTTTGATTTTATTCAGCTATTACCTGCGTATAGTTTTACCGATTTATAAGCAATGCAGCAAACATTGTGTTAGAATTTATGACCAACTTAGAATTAGAAAGATATTACAAATTACAGTTTCCAGATATTCTGCATAAAATTGTGGACACCCGAATTTTTGGAGGATCACGAGAAGTTACGTCCAGCGGCTTGGTTTCATTTTCCCACATTTGTTCACTTTCACAGATATTAAACAGTTAATAAACCACCGTCATTACACATTTAAACCTGACGAAACACTAAATAGACAAAATAAAACAAATCACACTACTTCACTCCTCGCGTTCCCGCCAAAAAGTCTCGGCAGGTTTTATCACCTAGTTCAAGCACAGATGAAAATTATGATTGTGTTTCTTCTTTCTACTTAAAAAAAAAAAATGTGTGCGTGTACTAGTGTACACACGTAAGAAGTGAAACTTGTTTATGGCCTTATTTTTCGAAAAATGATCTACATGCAACTTTCTAGAAATTGGTTAAATAAAGTTAAATTAGATAAAGTTTAAACAAAAGGATTTAATTATCATAGACATGAATACAAAAAAGTTAAATTAGATAAAGTTTAAACAAAAGGATTTTATTATCATAGACATGAATACAAAACAGATGGCGCGTAACGGAAAAAAGTGACGCGTAACCGAAAAATGTGACGGTAAATTTTTTTCCAACGCCGATAAGGAAGTTTCACTTCAAAAAAGATCTCGTTAAAAATGTTCATGTGTTCTCCGTCGCAAGGTAGCCGACGTGTTCTACCTGGACTACGGCGACAGCGAGTACGTGGCCACGCACGAGCTGTGCGAGTTAAGAGCGGACCTATTGAGACTGCGGTTCCAGGTTAGTGTCAATAATTAAAAAAAAGTTTATTTTTTATTTTTAACACCAATCCTTACAATCCTCTTTGGTGCGGCGACCGTTTTGAAGCCTCTAAAGTTGTGAGTAAAATCGAATAAAAAAAAATCGATTTGACATCGAATCGATATTATAGCGAAATATTTTCACAAAATTCTGAATTGCGCTAACGACATTTTTTAAGATGAACTTGCATAGCACAACCTTGTCATTTCCCTCAATTACCGACAATGTACAGACATAACTGTTAACAAATGTGATTTTGTTCCAGGCCATGGAGTGCTTCCTGGCTGGCGTCCGGCCCGCCAGCGGCGAGGAGGCCGTGTCTCCGTCTGGCCAGCGCTGGGACAAGTGGCATCCACAGGCCGTCGAGAGGTTCGAAGAACTTACCCAGGTGAGACACGCTGACACTTAATATTCGCCATGAATATATAATAACATAATGTGGTATGTGCCTTAAAAGCAAGGGGCTGTTTAAGCGGCAACCAGTCGAAGCTTTGTCATAAGTTATCACGGGATAAATGTAACGTACCTCTTTATAATCAGAAGTGTCGGTATTTTTTTTTTCTCATTTTTGTGGGTAACTATTATAGTAGAGAAGATATTTGACACAAGTTTGAATTATGCTAACGACATTTTGATTTAAAAAAATGCTTAAATACAAGTTCCTAGCGCTTAAAACAGTGTCAAAGGACAATTTCAACGGCTCGGTAGAAGATCTTCCCTTTGTCGAAGTTACAAAATTAACTTGTGTCGATCTTTAAGAAAGACTCATCGTTATGTATCCTTTCAAACACTTAGGTAGCGAGGTGGAAGGCCCTGGTCTCCCGGACCTGCACGTACAAGAAGACGGCGACCGCTGAAGGAGAGAAGGACAAGGAGATACCTGGGATCAAACTGTTCGATGTTACTGATGGTAAAAAAAAACATTACATACAATAATTTTCGAGTTTTAATAATAATAACGTCTTATAGGTAGGTAAATCGATGAATATCGGCTGACGCACGAAAAAGTATCACGTTCCGCCTGAGCGTGCAAGCGAGGGCGCGGAACAAGGGATAGAGAGGCACGATCGGCCCAAGCATTGGCGTGTGACACAATTAACTCTCTTCTCGCGTGACGTCAGAGCTAGCAGTACGAATAGTTTTGCTGCTGACGTTATCACCTAAAACTATCGGTCGTAAGCCGACTTTACTGACTTTTTTAATTGTCTTATAGGGCGAAAGCGCTCACGCGGACTGTCCGTGGACATCTCAACGTAAAAAGTCTCAGTAAATGACCACCATTTTACTGAGATTATATTTCATCCCATATCATCTCATCTCATTTCATTTCATTTCATGCCAATTGATTAAGTTTCCTTCGTGTTTTATTATTCATAAACTGTAAGTAATTAAAACGGCGAATTATAAAAATCTTATTACTTAACGCTGGCTAATGAACAAACCGTGCCGGAGCCAAAATTAAAGAAGAAGATAATTTAGCGTCTCTCATTTTGCGCGTTACACGAGACCAAACCTGGAGCGTTGTCGGTTCTGTAATTGTGTTACATTGCGTGCTAATGAAATTAAATAATAAATAACACCCACAAAAACGATTATTTTGTCGTATGAAATGCCGCTACCATCTAGATCTTTGTTGTGGGGAGGCTTACAATGTAATGATGCGGTGACTGTCCTGTCCGCAGAGGGCGAGCTGGACGTGGGCGCGGTGCTGGTGGCGGAGGGGTGGGCGGTGGCGGGCCCCGCCCCCTCCCCGCGCCCCTCGCCCCCGCGCGGACACACCACGCCCTTCGGAGACCTCAGCAAGTCCAAGTAAGATATCAATCGCTTGTCAAATGGATCGCATAAAAAAGCAACACATTGCTGTTTTTTTCATATTTTTTTTCTACTAACGCCCTTACGGATCCATTAGATCCAATAACCTTTGTATTGGACGCATTCAGCCCTAACACTAGGAGCGGACTTAGGGCCTCCGGTAACCGTACTCGTCGAACTCGACGAAGAGTTCGATGTGCAACCTAACCTATGCATCAGTTCGCTGAGGTTCTCGCGGGATCTTCTCAGCGGGTCGCGATTCCGATCCGGTAGTAGATTCATTCACGAAGCAACTACTCTTGAGTTGTTAGGACTCCTTTGGAGGCGCTTGGGCAGCTGTTAGCAAATCCCACCCCTCCTGGCTCAACCTTTGCTCGCCCACCTGTCCTGGTGAAATTGGAAAGGCCTCAAGGCCACCAGTAAAACTTCAAACATAAAACAGATGTCTACAATTGTTCTATTTGTATGTCCTATTATTGTTCAATTTGAAATAGAAATTCGACTTTGTCTTTCGACGTTTTTGCTCTGCATCATGAAATGAAATTTTTGTATTGCATTCGAATTAATAAGTTTTTTTTTATTTATAAACAGAGTACTCAGTATGACCGGCGGTGGTGGACGATCATCGTCCGTTCCAAAGGATCACAAAGACGATGGCAGCAATGTGCTCACCGTTGAAGGCGATGACTCCAAAGGTAGGAGTTTAAAATTACACCCAAACACAAATTCTCCTAGTGTTTAAAAGAAGAAAAATATAATTGTATAAAATTTATATTTTTTTATGATACACATAAATTCTCAGTTGTATTTAATATAACCACCATTCTGACTAGAACGCGTGGCTTTAACAAGCTGTTATTAAGTTCTTAGTATAGAATGCTATCGATGTATAGATCTTAGTAGATATATTCGTAGAATATTATCGATCCTGGTGTTTAAATTTAAACGCGCTTTAGCAACCATTGATTTTTTTTATTCTTTTTTTTTCTAGACAAAGACGGAATAACAGCATCGAAATCACTAGCCTCCGGTCTCGAGAAGTCTGACCGCCACCCGTTATCGATATCGAACTTCGATCTATCGTATCCCGACCCATCGAGGAACAAACAACTAAACGGCTCCGATGATTTCTTACACGGCGAACGGCAAAATATCGATAACGAGACCTCTATCGATACATTAGTTCCGCCGTCTCCCGTCTCTAACGTTCCGATACTGTCGAAAACGCTTCAAGACGAATTCAAGGCCAACATGAACCGAATAGATTCGCACCACAGTAATCTCGAAAACCTCGGTAAGTCCGCTTTTGAAAAGTGAACCTTAACTCCGATGTATTACGTTAGTTTATTGTATGACTCGAATTTATGTAAACGTCTTATGAGGCATAATACTGAAATTGTAGTCGATGTATTTTCTGATCCTTTTTCACGTAGTTTTCATACAATAATATACGTATTGGAAGCGAGTACAGATAAACAAGAAGTCTGAATAGTTATTAAATGAAAATAATCATTTTTTCTAAAACATTATTATTGTTAGTAGTTTTTTTTTGTATCTATATCATATGTTCGTTTTTTTTTTTCAATTAAAAATTATTTTCTGTTGCCTTTGTCTGTGCTAATTCTAGTCATAGACAAAACAAGATGGCTTCTTCATATTTTTTTAAACTAAAACATCTTGTTCTTCGCCTTATTCGTACACTTGCCCACAAAACATGCATATACTTAATATTTATTTACGTAGTTTTTAGTGATCAATTCCTCCAACGAAATCATGTAATTTATTTTTTAACACGAAACTCAGAAAATTCATGTTTTTTTTTTGTATAAAAATCACATCTCATTTTTTTTAAAAACACTTGTCATTCAAAATCTACCGGTCGAGATTTCCTCCTGTGGTACTTACACTAGAAAGTTTATGTATAAAAATTTTAAATCGCAACCGAATTTGACAAAATTCGTCCTACGTCAATAATTTACACCTGAAAAAGAATATAGACGATATTTTATGTCTCTGCTGGCATTAGACTTTGGTTTCCTTCCACGCGCATGCAGCTGCGGACCTGAAACTAGTACCAAATGTCTTTTAACAACAAACATGAAACCGGTAACACAATCCTAAAAGTTAGAGAGAGAGATAAAGAGAAAATACTTTATAGCACAACAAAACACAATTTACATTTAAAAACAGTCCACAAATAGTTCACTTATTGTAAAATAGGCGGTCATATCGCTAAAAGCGATCTCTTTCAGACAAACAGTTTTATCTACAGAAATTCTGGCAAAAAGATCCTAACTGATTTTTATTGGAAAAAGGTACTTAATTATTTATCTATGTATTACTTAAATCCGGAATCTCCAAATTACATTTAATACCTATTACAAATATAAAATATTTGATTAGAAAACATGTGACGTCATTTCAGGCTACGAGCCAACCATAGGTCGATAAACAACGATAAGCCACAAATGACGTCATACTTTATGATTAGCGTTAAAAACAAACATTAGATTTAATTTAAATTACACAGAAATCAATAAAAGTTTTATTTTATATATGTATTAATGTTGTTATGTATCTAATCTTAAAAAGTATAGGAACTTTGATATTGGTCATTTTTTTATTATCTTTTTCGTACCATACAGTTTCGAGTTTATTGTATAATGTAATTAGTTTAGTGTACATGTGTAGTCTGTGATCGTAATTAACTAGTGTAGATTCTTAAGCTCTAACTCCGCGGCTTGTTCATAGTTTTATAGTATTATTTTACTGGTTTTCTTGTTGTTACAAATAGTCTATAAGGTGAGCCCCAATGTTGTATTATAAATATAAGTTCTGTGTAATTATTATTAGGATTAAAGTGCATAATGAAAATGAAAAATCATAAATTAAAAAAATACCTTATTTTTTTGGGAAATTGAGTGTAATTTACATCAGTACAGTATAAGGGAAATGAAAAATTACATGGAATCTCTGGAATTGTTTTAGCACCTAGTTGAAAAGACCGAAAGTTGGCTCTGCGTACACTAATGTCCAAAATAATGTTAATATTAAATCTAAAATCTCTATTAATTAGGTCTGAAAAGGTTTCTATACTACTTTCAAAATCATAATTGATTTAATATAATATCAAATTGATTTATACGGTTTTATTGCAAGGAATGTACGGACTACGCGTAATGTTGGATCGGTGCTTAAAAAGGTGCTAAGTAGGAATGTCTTTTTGTCAGTATATTGTACAAAATATCTATGTATTGACGATACACTTTAGGAAAAGTCTATCGTAAAATCATAAAAAAATCTATCTATCTAAATATCTATAGCATGTGTCCAGAGGGGAACTGCCATAGGCCGATGATGATTATAATGATGAATGATATAGGAAAAGATAATACTAATAGATTATATAAGCTACTGAAATTGTGAACATTACTTATCATTTCAATTTTATACTTAAAAAAAGCGTCTAGCTGCTGTCAATAGCAGAGGCGATGACTACGTTTAAGAAACAGGAAAACACTTGTTTGTATACATATAAAATATGTTCATAGATAAACTCTTTCGTCTTCAATTTTTTTTCATTAAAAACTCCGTGGTCAAATTGGGTTGCTTTAGGAAAAATAAAAAGTGCCATACTAGTACAAAATACTTTTTTTCTACAGTAAGTATTGGTTGTTGTTGATTTTTAAGTGTAAGCTTTTCTTTAATTTGTTGTTTTGTTCTGTAGATATGAAATTTAGTTATTGTATTATAAATAAATAAATAAGCAAATGATGTAGTTTTTTTTTTAAGTACTTTACTTTCTTCGTCCGTATCTGGTATGACAAAGATGTTCCATTAAGTGGATGTTATTGCTCCGTAGACCGACGATCCAAATGTAACGCGCAAATTATACCTTTCCTAAGTTTGATTTTTATCATACGATGCTATTCTTTCGTCGTGAAAATCATTCGTGAATGAGTTAAGTACGTATTTCGTTGCTAAAATTTATATTTGGCTGTGATTCGAACACCGGCATTGTCGTATCATGGGATACGAATGCACCGGGTGCCTTATCTTTTAGGCCACAACGATTTCATTACTTATTATTAATAGTATTAAGGTGTGGCGGTAGCCATCACAGAACACAATATATTTGACAGATGCCTGAATCTCGCTTACGACATTTTCAAGATAAGCTTGCATATGTACAAGTTCCGAATAACAACATTCGGACCGTCGGTCTACCGAGCAATATCATCCGTTCGGTGGAAGATCTTTCCATTTGTCCTATACCTACAAAGGTATTAATGTAAGTTGGTATGATTGAATACCACTATATAAAATCCGCTACAGTATGGTACATCTACTACCGCTACATCATGCATATTTCTGCTGCATCATAAACTTATACGCCGCCACACATTTTATTTCGTATACTGAAACAGTACTGTTCAATCTTCGACCTCTTGCCAAGGATTTGACCTATAGGCCATTCATAGGTGAACTCTTCTACTACGTCAAATAGTACGTACTGTTATACGGAATTGAGGAAAGTTCTTTTTAAAAAAGATTTTAATAATGAAATAATCATATAAAGATTTACGACGACAATTATGACAACCGTGTCGTGTGGAATTGGGTTTTTTTTTTTTTTTTTTGCGTACCTCTAGCAAACAACAAAGCCTGAGATTCATATTTACATTTTTTGTTTTAATTTTAATTATAGTTGATACTCCTGCCCATAAGGGACTTAAGTGGAATTGGGAATAAGACTGATCGACTAGGGAGGGGATTGTTCTCTAATAAAGGATCATAAGTGCTGATGCTATTCGGGAAAGGTGATGATGGGAGCAAAGCTAGGAACCAGAGGGTTTCATAACCGTACGTATATAGGAGAAGGGTTGAAATAGTCCTGTTTTTTTTTTTTTTGGGATATAGGAAGTGCTAGTAGTCCAGAGGCCTTTTCAGCTTCATCAGGAAAAACGAGCAAGCACGGGCTCAACCAGAATGATACACATTTTGTAATTAGGTAGGTGGTTTAATGCCAAAATTACTATTTTTTTCCGTTTGGGAAGTGGAGTTTTAGTTTCATGTTAAAACCAAATATCATTTTGAAGTCGTCGTGGCCTAAAGGATAAGACGTCCGGTGCATTCGTATGAAGCGATGCACCGGTGTTCGAATCCCGCAGGCGGATACCAATTTTTCTAATGAAATACGTACTCAACAAATGCTCAAATTCAAATTCAAATTCAAAATCATTTATTTCAACTTGGATGTCATCAAAAACACACTTGTTGAATGTCAAAATGTAAAAGAAAATTTTAACTCTACCACCGGTTCCAAAAAAGCCACAGTCCTGAGAAGAACCGGCGAAACAAACTCAGCGGGCTTTTTTTTTTTTTTTTGTATTTTCTCAACAATTTTTTTTTTTTAAACAATAAAACATATTTACAGTATACAAAAAAACAAGTCAAAAAAATACAATTCAAATAAATAATAATAATAATGAAAAATGAAAAGGCCAGGAGCGAACGCCTCATTCCCACGTAGTGCCATCTAGTAAAAAATCCTTAACTTTATAATATGCCTTGTAGCACAAACGTTCCTTGACAGTTTTCTTAAATCTATGAACAGGTAGTAGTTGATTGAGTTAGTGAGTTAGTTGAGCTCACGATTGACTTCCACGGTGAAGGAATAACATCGTGTAATAAAAATCAAACCCGCAAAATTATAATTTGCGTAATCACTGGTGGTAGGACCTCTTGGGAGTCCGCGCGGGTAGGTACCACCACCCCGCCTATTTCCGCCGTGAAGCAGTAATGCGTTTCGGTTCGAAGGGTGGGGTAGCCGGTGTAACTATACTGAGACCTTAGAGCTTATATCTCGAGGTGGGTGGCGCATTTACGTTGTAGATGTCTATGGGCTACAGTAACCACTTAACATCAGGTGGGCTGTGAGCTCGTCCATCCATCTAAGCAATAAAAAAAATAATCATACTGACTATTATTACAGTTACTGTTATAATTATATTACGTGGTCACTACTACAATCTCGTTCGAAATAAACGAGCATATAAAAAGGTCGTTTCGTAAATATTCATTCAAATGAAGAAATATTGCTTCAAAAAAAAATATAACCCAATTAATTTAGTCAAAAGATTACGAATGAAGTTGTCATTGACATCTACAAAAACGCATATCATCCAAAAATCGGGTTTGTTTGTTCGATCGTTAATAATAATATTGTAATGTCATTCGGAGCTTTCACTTCCACTTACTTTGCTCTTTCATAAAGGAAAATCGTTGGCGTGAAATTAAAAAAATAATAATTATTATCTGTAACGAATTTACGTAACTTCCGACCGTGATTGTTTCTCGATTACTGAATCGGCAGTAACAGTTGTCACGCTTTGCTGTGACCGCAATATTTAATCAATTTGATTTGTTTCCCTTTGTTTTTTCCTAGACAATCTAATGGCGCGACCCACTGGAGCCCATAGACATCTACAACGTAAATACGCCACCCAGTAAGGTCTCAAGTATAGTTACCACGCACGGCTGCCCCACCCTTCAAACCGAAAC